CATGCCACTGTGATTTGAGAAGATGCTTGATATAAATTCAATCTTCTTGAACTTATAAAGACTTATTTTGTGTCCTAACATGTGGTCTATATTTGAGAATGTTCCATTTGCACTTTCCATGAGAAGAATGTATATTCTGCAGCTTTGGAATAAAATATTCTGTAAATTTCGATTAAACCCACCTGATCTTGTGTATCATTTAAGGTGGCTGTTTCCTTGTTGATTTTTTTTGTTTGTTTGTTTTTTTGGTCTGGAAGATCTAGCCAGTGATGTCAGTGGGGTGTTAAAGTTCCCTACTGTGACTGTATTGCTGTCAGTCTCTCCCTTAAAGTCCACCAATATATTTTTAAAAATATATTCAGTTGCTCCTTTATGTTTACCAGGGTTATACCCTCTTGTTGGATTGTTCCTTTTAGTATTATGTAGTGACTTTCTTCGTCTTTTGTTATGGCCATTGTTTTGAAGTACATTTTGTCAGATATAAGTATTGTTACCCCAGCTTTATTTTCCCTTTCCATTTGCTTGAAATAGTTTTTTTTTTTTTAATTTCTTTACTTTTACTCTGTGTGTATCTTTCATTCTGAGTTAGGTCTCTTGTAGATAGCATATTTTGAGGTCTATTTTCTTATCCATTCAACTATTGTAGCTTTTGATTGGAGCATTTAAGCCATTTAAAGTGATTACTGAGCCTGGCTGGTGTGGCTCAGTGGTTGAGCACTGACCCATGTGCCAAGAGGTCGCTGGTTTGATTCCTGGTCAGGGCACATGCCCAGGTTGTGGGCCAAAATCCCAGTGGTGGGCATGCAGGAGGTGGCCAATCGATATTCTGTCTCATCGACATTTCTGGAATCTGCCCAGCCCTCAGCAGGGTGGAGCCACCAGGAATTGGGAGGGTGAGGCCATCAGGACCCCAGAGAGTGGGGCTAGTGGATCTTCTGTAAGAGTGAGGCACCAGTCTGGTTCATGGGAAAGTGGGGGAATGGCCCTCATCCCAAAGCCACACAACTCAGTCACTGACACCCCCTGAGTCTGCCCAGATCTGTACCTCTGGCCCAGGCAGCTGACCCCTAAGCAGGGCATGAACTCCACAGGGCGAGTGACAGGGAGTCTGGAGAGTGGGGCTATTGCCTTCCACCATGCTGATGCCACATGGAGGGGAGTGCTCCACCCAAGAAAGATGGTGTCTGCAGGATGGAAGAATGACTCAGCACAGGGATCCTGGCAGCTATCTCTTTAGCTTTCTTCCCAGAGGCAGAAACCCCAGTCGCTCCTCATGAGACTCTAGTCTGCTTTGCCATCTCTCGGCCAAAGCCCAGGGAGTGGCTGTGAATGAGATTTTGTACATTGGCCCTTTAAGAGAGCATCTGGGTTCTATCAGATTCCAGCCTTTCCCTGGTGAACAGAATCTCTATTGATTTTCACAGCCAGATGTTCTGTGGGTGCCTCTTCCTGGCTCTGTAGCTCTGGACTGGGGAGCCTGGCATGGGGTTGAGATCCCAGATTCTCAGGGGAACCAGCTGCAGCTGAGATATCCCTCTGAATCTCAGCCACCGCCTGTGGGAGCAGGGCCAGCTTTTTTTGTGTGTCTGCTGTTCTTACCAGTCTTGATGTGGCTTCTTCTGTAAATCCTTGGTTATAAGATTTCTGTGCAGCTGGTCTTCAGTTGGTTATTCAGGTTGATTGCTCTATAATTTAGTTGTAATTCTAATTTGATCCTTGGAGGAGGTGAGGGTACCTTCCACCTACTCTGCTGCTATCTTGGATCCCATGTTCATGATGTGGTTGGGTTTAAATCTGCACTTGCTGTTTGTCTTATTATTATTCATTCTTTTATTCCTGCCTCCTTTTGAACTAATTGAGAATACTTTAGTCCATTCTGTCTCAACTGCTGGTCCATATCCTCCCTCTTTCTCCTGTTCAAGGGTTTTATAATTTGCACCTTTAAGTTACCACAGCCTATCTTCAAATAACGTGATACCATTTTCTGTAAGATCTTTACAGCAGAAAGCTTCTATTCCCCTCTTCCACACTTTGTTATTTTCGTATTTTTCTTTTACATATATAATGAATGCCACAACACATTATTTTGCTTTAAGCTGTCAATTTTCTTTTGAAGAAATTTTGGATTTTTAAAAAGGTTATTTTTATTTTAAAATTTTTAATTTTATTGTGGTAACTACTTAATAACATTATATAAATTTCAGGTATACAACATTATAATTCAATATCTGCATAGTCTATTACATGCTTACCACCAAAAGTCTAATTTCTATCCATTACCATATATTTCATCTCTTTTACCAATTTTTCCCTCCATCCATCCCCCCCCCCCCCACTCTGGCAACCACCTTTCAGTTACCTGTATCCAGGATATTATTTGTGTTTTGTTAGTTCATTACTTTTTAAAAATATTCCACGAGTTAAATCATACAGTAGGTCTTTGTGCTTTTCTCTCTTATTTCACTTAGTATAATACTTTCAAGCTCCATCCATGTTGTCATAAATGGCAAAATTTACTCTTTTTATGGAACTGAGTTGTATTCCATTGTGTATACCTACCACATCTTCTTTATCCAATCATCTGTCTCTGGATACTTAGGTTATTTCCATATCTCAACCATTGTAACTAATATGGTAGTGAACATAGGGGTGCATATCTTTTCAAATTAGTGTTTTCATATTCCTCAGACAAATACCTGGAAAAGGAATTTCTGGATCACATGGTAGTTCTATCTTCATTTTTTAAGGAACCTACATACTGTTTTTCACAGTGGCTGCTCCAGTCTACAATCCCACCAACAGTGTCTGAGGGGATCCCCCTCTCCACATCCTCTCCAACACTTGCTATTTCCTGTCTCTTTGATAACAGCAACTCTAACAGGTGGGAGGCGATAACTCACTGTGGTTTTGATTTGTACTTCCTTAATAATCAGTGATGTTGAACATCTTTTCATATGCCTGTTGGCTATCTGCATGTCCTTTTTTAAAAAAAATATCTATGCAGATCCTCTGCCTAACCTCCCATCAAATTGTTTGTTGTTGTTGAGTTTTATGAGTTCTTTATATATTTTGGATATTAACTCCTTATAAATATCATTTGCAAATATCTTCTCCCATTCCGTTGGTTGTCTGTTGATGATTTACTTCACTGTGCAGAGATTTTCAGTTTGATGTCATCCCATTTGTTAATTTTTGTTGTTTCCCTTGCTTTTGGAGTCAAATTCATAAAAACACTACTGAGACCAATGTTCAGAAGCTTAGTGTCTGTGTTTTCATCTATGTATTTTAGTGTTTCAGGTCTTGTGTTCAAGTCTTTAACCCATTTTGAGTTAATTTTGTGGTTGGTGTCAAATAGTGGTCTAGTTTTATTCTTTTGCATGTGGCTTTCCAGTTTCCCCAGCACCATTTATTAAAGAGACTTTCCTTTCTCACATCTCTTTTTCTGTGTGCTTAAAAGATTTTCTCTTTATCACTGGTTTTCCGGTATGATTATGAGGTGACTTGGTGTGGTTTTCTTGATATCTATTCTGCTTGATAAGACCAGTTTAATTCACACTGGAAATGAACCAAACTTTGCTATAAAAAATCTTTTCTAAACTCATCTCTCATTAACTTTGTTCACGAGAAAAGAAATAAGCTCAGCACTTGAGCAAGTATATTGCAGCCCAGTCTCAAATGATCTGGTCATTTTGGCCTCAAAAGACACACTGTATTATTTAATTTCTCTCAAATAGCTGAGTTGCAACCCAGTGTCCCCAATGTCAGGATATATTTTTCTATTCAGGACATATGACACAATAAAATTATTGGCACTTCCTTCCCAACTCAGTGTACATTCAAATATACATATATATTGTATTGGCAAATGTAGCTCCCTCCCTCCCTCCCTCCCTCCCTCCCTCCCTCCCTCCCTCCCTTCATTGGTTTTAGAGAGAGAGGAAGGGAGAGGGAGAGACAGATAGAAACATCTATGAGAGAATATTGATTGGCCGCCTCCTGCGTGTCCCCCACTGGGGATCGGGCCCACAACCTGGGCATGTGTCCTGACCAGGAATTGAACTGGTGACCTCTTGGTGCATGGTCCGATGCTCAACCACTGAGCCACACCGGCCGGACTGTAGATGCTTTTTTTTTTAAATCCTCACCCGAGGGCATTTTTCGATATTTTGTTCAGATAGAGTGAGAGGGAGAGTGAGAGAGAGAAACATCCATGTGAAAGGGACACATTGAGTGGCTGCCACCTGCACGACCCAACCAGGGCCGGGGACAAACTGCAACTGAGATATGTGCCCTTAGCGGGAACCGAACCCAGGTCTCTCCAGACTGCAGGCCGATGCTCTAACCGCTGAGCCAAACCAGCCAGGGCTGTAGATGCTTTTTAATTGTGGCATTTACAATGGGATCCCCTTGATCTAAACTGAGTTCTTCCTGTTCTGTTGTGTCACAGAACCCTGTACTCCCCTTCACAGCCCACAGCCTTTGGGAGTGCAGGGGACACGTGTACCTTCAGCACACAGTAGGGGGCTCTGTACAGATCTGCTATGGGGTGGGGGGTCTTTTCTTTAAAATGAGTGTGTTTCATCATGGGGCTGACTAAAGTCCATTTAAGGGTAGTAAAGGCTGATATATAAAATTTCTCACAAAGACCAAAATTAAGAAATGAAAGTTATTGTCTCCTGGTGACACACATTTGTAGAAGAGCTAAAGGGAAAACCTATGTGGGTTATAAAAAAAGAGCCATCAATCTGTGATCTGGCCATATGTTTATTTTTTTAATTTTTTTTTTTATCCTCACCCGAGGACATTTTTCCATTTTTTGTTCAGGTAGAGTGGGAGGGAGAGAGAGGAACAGATATATAGAGAGAAACATCGATGTGAAAGGAACACACCGAGTGGCTGCCACCCGCACGAGGCCGGGGACAAACTGCAACCGAGGTACGTGCCCTTAGCGGGAACCGAACCCGGGTCTCAGGACCACAGGCTGACGCTCTAACCGCTGAGCCAAACTGGCCAGGGCCTGGCCATATGTTTAAACTGTATAAAGAATAAGTCTTCAAATCCGTTCCTGTGACTTTATTCCGTCGGAAGTGGCCATGCACACAGAGGAGGAGCTGCGGTCATCCCAGGAACGTCTCTGCGACATGCACGGCAGAGGCGCCTCAGACACGTACAGAGGAAGTTTCATGCTGAATAAATAATCCCCCCATATTCAATTGTATTTTTACATAAAAATATAATATTGCACTCTTAATAAGACCAGTTATTTTGCATATTTCCTCGAGATAACTGATGAAATTCAGCCTTAAAAAAAGAGACTGAGTAGCAACCCTATTCTAATGGGACTAATTTAAGGTTTTCAGTAGAAAAATGAATGCTAGACAATAGCTGCAATTTTTTTTTTAAACAAAGCAAATCACTTCAACGTGAACAGGAATAATGTCATGTCTGCACCTGTCTGGACCTCAGAACTCCCGGCAGTCTGTGCGCACAGGATCGGGCGCAGCCTGGCGCTGTGGTGACACTGGTGCGGCCTCAGGTCACCCGCGCACGTGGCCACTCGCGGCCTCCTGTATTGATCTTGACGCAGAGACTTGGGAATTATATTTTAAACAGTTTCTAAGCAGACTGTTTTAGAAAGTCTGGAAGTTACAAAAGTAGTTCTGTAAACACCATATGAGTCAAATTTTCATCACAAACACGCCAGTTATTTTCAGGCAGGAATACATATTTTTATCCCGTGTAACATTACTCAGATATTTTAGTGTCTCCAAAGCCAATCCAGCAGCACCCAAGTAGAAACACAGCCGTGATACATGGCAGAGAGACTGTTCCAAGAGTTTCAGGATTCTGTCCCTGCAGCGAGTGAGTTCGCTGTGGTGCAGTGAGATGTGTCTCCTGTTCCTCAGATTCTCAGGTACAGGTCAGTGGAACCAGAGCAGAAACTTTCCTACAGGAATCGTTCAGCCTCATGTTTAAGGTAAAGTAAGCCATCACCTTCTCTTCTGGGGAAGAAACCTCTTCCTGCACATTAAACGTCTCACCCCCAGTGGATTATTAATATCCGTGCAAACTCTCTGCACAGTGAAGGCTTTCTAATGCAAACTGTTAAGTTTTCAATACTCTATACATGGCAGATATGAAGAGACTTATTGTGTTAAACCTTAGTGACTCAGCTAAGGGTAGTCAATATCTAGTGTTATGGATTTTCAGTGGGACGTTTATGGAGACACAGAATGTGTCTGAAATCAGATACCCCTGTTCTTATTAGAGGCTGTCAAAACATTCTGGTTCTACTTTGAATTAAGAAGGCAACTGGCAGAAACTGCCTTTTAATATTGAGATTCATTAGTAGTCTGTTTTTAGTATTCAGATGTTCCATAAAATGTTTGGTGCAGAGGCACCTACCAAACAATTTACTTATTAAAGAAAGCAGTGATCAAATCCTGAATTCTTTATCCTTTTCTTTCCTTTTTCTGGGGGGTGGAGGGCAGTTGAAAGTTATCTCAGCATAAAATTTTAAATATAATTTTTAGAGTATTTTATAAACAATTAGCCAACCAATTTAAATTCTGTTGGCCCTCTTAGAATAATAGAAAAAGGAGCGACCCTAATCTTTTCTTTAGAATATTTTTGTAGGAAAAAACTTGAAGAATACGATTTTCATTTACTGTCCCAGGCTTCAGTCCTGTTGGTCAGGGCACGCGGTCACACCCTGCAGATGATCACTAACAGAACAAACCTTCTCAGGACCCGTGAGGCTGCAGAGTTCAGTGCAGATGAATAGACTTGATATTATTCGGAAGGGTTGTTTGGTCACCGTTTCTGCAGGTCACCCTCCGGCGATGGAGAAGTTATGGACAGAGTGTGGAGTCCGAGCGCTGGAGAGCCCAGTTCTTCATCCAGCCGCGTAGCTGCTGAGGAAGGAGCAGAACATGGGCTGCTTCAGGCGCTGCTGGTCCTTCCGACACCAGGCGATCACCGTCCCGTCGCTGTTCGCTGTGTACAGATGGTGGCCATCGCAGGAAAACGTGAGGCTGTGAAAAAGAAAAAACTCCGTTCGTACAGTGCGTCTCTTAAGATTGTATTAGCACACTGGTGATCACATAGGAGTCTGTGTCAAGCAGTTACGCTGTCTTCCCTGGAGCAGAGACAAGTTCAACAGCCACCTCCAGCCCGTAGTTTCCGGCTGTGACTCTCACACAGTTTAGTGGCTCTGCTGGCGTGTTTGCAAAGCTCCTTCTAACAAGGTGACACAGAGTGCCGTCAGGGCCCAGAGCTGGGCACATGCCATTCCTTCCTTCCATATTCTCTGGTTCCTTCTTGTTTAGCCTTTATTACTTAAACAATGAATACTTGGGTATAGGAAACTTTAAAAAATATAACAGTACTACATTTTCTCTTTATAGAAATAAATGATTATTTATGGAGATATTTTATTTCCCTGAGAGAAAAAAGGGTAAAGGTAAAAATATAACAATAAATTATTAATTTAGGGTCATTAAACTTTAAATTTAGTATATTGAAAAGAAATTTATTAATAGAGTAGAATTTGAATCACTTATGGAGGAGAGGAGGGCGGTGTGCTCATCAGCCCGTTAGGACCCTGCAGCCGTCCATCACCATCGCGGTGTTTTCCATAAGGAAGGAAAAAAATATCTCTTCCCAATGCGAGAGGCCTTCCTGGACCTACTTCAGCGTGCCAGCCTGTTAGACTCGGCTCCTGGCTCAGGTGACAAGCTCCAGGAAGACAAGGACTAGGCCTCCTTTGGCCACGGGGTCCTGGGCCACCTGGTGTCTGATAAATGTCGCCTGTTTATGAGACTCTCATCATGTATTCCCTTAGGTCTGTGTGCTTTATTCTCTAACAAAACACAGCCACAAAGTCTATTATGAAGAATGGGAGGGGAGGTCCTACCTGACAATGGGCTTATTGGATTTAGGAAACGTGATCTCCCGCACCGGCTTCAGGTCCCACGTGCTCCATAACCTAGAGGGAAAAGTCGCATCTGATTATGCAACTAAATTCCTTCACTGAGAAAACCCACCTATTTGTTAATTAATTAAAAACCATCTAAAAGGAAACACAATAAACTATTAACAGTAGTTATTTCTGGGAAGTTTGCAGGGGGGAGTATGGAGTAAAAACCTAACTGGGTATATTTTTGTATTGTTCATCTTTAACAGTTAACAAACAATATAAAATTTCAAAGCTGCACTAAAGCTATCTTTATTATTTAGAAATAAAACAGGAATAACGGAAGAACCTATATCTGAAGGTGGTTTTAAATTTCTGACGGTTAAACATTAATATGCCTAGATATTAAGACTTATTTTTGAAACTCCTCGTAGACGAGAGCAGACAGGGGACCGGGCGCATCTCACCTCACGATTCCGTTTTCCAGGCCCCCCGCGATCACATTGATGGACACCCCCTCAGGCTGGTTAGAGAAAGCGACGGAACAGATGATCTCTCTGCAGTGCACATGTCCCACGAGGTCCCCGTTCACTGTCCAGAGTCTCAGGTCGCTGCCTCCACCCGCTGAAACACCAAAACCACTGCCGGTCACCAGAGTGCAGCATCTCCCAGCCCAGCACTCTGGGGCCTGGAGGGTGCCCCTGGGGCCAAGCTTGTTTCAATGATGACATTTATAGGCAGCTCCTGAATGCAGAATGAACAAGTAAGTCACGTGAACACTGTAAGTCCCATGAAGCTTTGCATGATTATTCAGACAACAACCAGTAAAAGATAAATAAATCTGCAACAGACAGCAACAAGGCAATTGACCGTGAATCATGCTTCACCACGTGAACTACCAAATCTGAACCTAAAAGTGCCCAGGAAGCTAAACAGTCGTCAAGAGAAAATATCCTCTGAACTCACCTATTAAGAAGTGACTAACTTGTGTGACTTCTGAAGAAAAAAAGAGTCACAGTAAAAGTTACCAAAGTTAAAAACTAATTCTTAAAAAAGAATAAGAAATCTGCCTGGCTGGTGTGGCTCAGGGACTGAGAGGCCCAGGCTTGAGTCCCCGTCAGGGAACATGCCGGGTTGCAGGCTTGAGCCCCAGCAGGGGGTGTGCAGGAGGCAGCCGATCCATGTTTCTCTCTCACATCGATGTTTCTATCTCTCTCACCCTTCCCCTCTCTCTAAAAAAAAAATCACTGATAAAAAAAAAAAAAAGAAATCTAATGTCTAAGATAGAATGTTTTGTTGTTGTTGTTGTTAATACTTACCCAAGGATATTTTTCATATTGATTTTCAGAGAGTGGAAGGGAGTGGGGGGGGGGGGGGAGAGAGAGAGAGAGAGAAACACTGATGTGAGGGACACATCGATTGGTTGCCTCCCTCACGTACCTTGACTTGGGCTGGGGATTGAACCTGCAACCCAGGTAAGTGACCTTGACTGGGAATCAAACCCACAACACTTCATTGCACAGGCTGACGCTCTAACCACTAACACCAGCCAGAGCTAAGACTGAGTCTTATAAATCAATGTCTTATTAAACTAATGTTTTCTTTTCAAAGATGCCGACTAACCAAATTTTTTATAGTTTTCCAGGGGGTGGAGGAGGCAGTAATTGCTGGCCAGTCTCTGTGAACAGGCTAGTGGTCGGGGCCTCATGATGCTGTGTTTGCCTTCTTTGAAGAAATGTTCTCATGCTGATAGAGAGGGTAAGAGGCATGAACAAGTTTGGATGACACAGTGTTATTACACTTTATATTATATCTCCATTAGAACTAACAGGAAAGTAGAGAATTTTATGTCTCTCCTTTATTAAGGTAATGAAAATATATTTTATAGCGAAGAAACAAATATTGGAAACACTTCTTTATAGATATGCTGAACATGTTCAAATATCACAAACCAGAATATATAATGTGCTGCAGCAGTATTTACAAAAGCCAAAATGTGGAAACAACCCAATGTTTATCAACAAATACCCGGATAAACAAATGTGGTCGATCTGTGCGACGCAGTATCATCCGACCACGGAAAGTGATGGAGCTCTGACACTGGCCACCGCGTGGCGGACCTTGGAAATACTGTGCTAGGTAAGACAAGCCAGTATTATCCGACCACGGAAAGTGATGGAGCTCTGACACTGGCCACCGCGTGGCGGACCTTGGAAATACTGTGCTAGGTAAGACAAGCCAGTATTATCCGACCACGGAAAGTGATGGAGCTCTGACACCAGCCACCGCGTGGCGGACCTTGGAAATACTGTGCTAGGTAGGACAAGCCAGACATGGAAAGACAAACAGTGTATGATTCCACTGCCATAAAATATCTAGAACAGGCAAATTCGTAGAGACAGAAAGGAGAAGAAAGGTTATCAGAAGCTGTGGGGGAGGGGAGGGGAATGGGAATCACAGGGTTTCTGATTGAAATGATGAAAACGCTTTGATCCGTGCAGCACTGCACAGCATGATGTACCGATGCCACTGAATCGTGTGCTTCTGCATGGTGCAACTTCGATGTAACTATGTTTTAACACACACACACACACACACACGCACACACACAGATCTTAAAATGCCTGATGTTCCACTCAGACTTCCCATTGTAGAATATTGATTAGGAGAGATTATCTAAATAAAGTATCAAGATGTAGAAGATGATAAACTCATCTTTTCCATAAGTAGACTACATTTCACTCTCTCTTTTGAATTTAATACCTGATAAGAGATTTTTAAAGATTATAAAGTAATCCAACATGTACCAGTGAGGTTAGAGGGTTTACTGAAGCTACTGGACACACGTCCATAAAAACTGATGTAGGGCTTGGCCACTGTAATCCCCAGTTACTGCACGGTTCAGTCCTTCAGAATGAGTGTGCACATGGCCCTGGACGCTGAGCACAGTATGGAACTTAACAAGTGAAGAATTACCTAGCAGGTCACCCAAAAACATGGGCCACAAAATGAACTAACTACTCATTTGCTTAGGATTGCAAATATCAAAAATATCAAGGCCCTACCCAATACTGGATTGCTTTCAGGTATAATTTAGCATATCAACTAAAAGAAAGTTGGGCTTTCCTGGAAAGAACTTTATTCTTCTTATACATCATCACTGAAATTAAAATAAACTGGAGAACCATCCCCACCTGAATCTTAGACTGACATTAACTTCATTATACCAGTAAACACATGACCAGGCTATGAGCCCTCATTAAAAGGCATATATTTTGATCCAGTGATGTAATGATTTTAAAAAATACAGAAACCATCTAGAATAGTACTTGCATAGTTTAATAAATTTCACATCTTATCACTATAAAAACTACATCTCATAATAAGCACTAGGGAATTACGATCAGGAGGAATGAGCCACTGTAACTTCAGCCCCAAGACAGACATTTTTGAGAAGACAATATATGTGTGTGTGTACATGTAGGTATGTACACATGCATGTATACATATACACAATACAACATACACATGTATACCACACACATAACACACACACATTTGTAATTTATTTTTTTTAATCCTCACTCAAGGATATTTTTCTATTTATTTTCAGACAGAGTGGAAGGAGGAGAGAGAGAGAGAGAAACATTGATGCGAAAGAGCCACATCAACTCATTGCCTCCCGCACAACTCCGACCAGGGCCAGGGACCGAACCGCAACTGAGGTACGTGCCCTTGACCAGAATCGAACCCGAGACTCTTTGGTCTGTGAGCTGATGCTCTAACTGCTGAGCCAAACCAGCCAGGGCATATATTTATACTTTTGGTTTTAAACTTACTTGGATGGTACTCACTAAAGGGTCAAGACTTTTGGTAGACTAAATCTAGTAACTTGCTTCCCTTCTTGGACTATAAGAATAGGAGGATGAACTGTAGTCCAAGTCACCAAACATAAATTTGGCCTCTCTTTCAAAAAATTGTTATTTTATTATGTTCTGTATATACCAAATATTCTTCATGACTTCTTTCATATATGTATCAAAAACCCTTGAAAAAGTTGAGAAGGACTTTCCGTTCAAACTAGAGAACAAGGTCTAGCCATGACCACATTGTGTGCTGCCTGGGGACACCTGCAAGCCCGGTGTGTGCTGGTAACTGCAGCAGAAGTAATTTTGCTTCTTGTCCCATATGACTAGGTGATAGAACAGCACAGAAATAAATCACTACTGGCAGCAGGAAAGTAATTAACTTTACAAAATTCAGCTCCTTCAAAATCAGTCCCAACTTCCAAACGTTGCCAAAACAAGAAAGTAGAGACCTCTTTATAAATAATCATAATATTATTCTCCCAGATTCCCTCTTGATGTGATATACTGAAAGCTGCAAATGTACAAATCGAGGAAGAACAATTAGCAGAGTCATCAATCATCTGCCCACATTGTGCTACTGAAGTCAGCTGTTTGAAATCTTTCCCCTTGGCTATGCTGCTTAGGAAATAAACTGTTTTCGTGACATTATTTGATGACTGGGGCTATGATGGGAAGACTTCTAAAATCGTTAAGCATGACTAAAGACATTTCTTGAATATAAGAATAAATGAATATTTTGTAAAAACAAAACTCCAAAAGGTATCTGTGGTATAATTAAAAAAAGAATTGTTGCCCTGGCTGGTTTGGCTCAGTGGTTAGAGCGTCGGCCTGTGGACCAGAGAGTCCCAGGTTTGGTTCCCACTAAGGGCATGTACCTCAGTTGCAGTTTGTCCCTGGCCCCGGTTGGGGTTGTGTGGGTGGCAGCCAGTCGATGTGTCCCTTTCACATTGATGTTTGTCTCTCTCTCTTCCCCCCTCTCTCCCTCCCGCTCTATCTGAAGACAGATGCAAAAAATGTCCTCGGGTGAGGATAAAAAAAAATTGTTTTTTATCCCAGGCCCCTGGCACAGAGCTCCTAAAACCCTTGTAATTTACCATCTTTTATATGCTACCTGGGGGGAGGAGGGGTGCTTGACAGCTTCAGGAAGGGCTGGTCCCCAGAAAAAACAATCACGTGATTAGAGGGTTAGGACACAGCACTCCCACCTCCTGGGAGGGGACAGGGCCTGGAGACTGAGCTCAGTCACCAGGGCTGGTGATCTGTGAATGATGTGCACCTAGAGCAACCTCAGAAGAACCCTAAGCAGCAGGGCTCGGAGAGGTTCCGGCTGTGACACGCTCCCCTGCCAGGAGGCGCTGCACTCTGACTCCACGTGGACACATCGTCTGCCTCTCACTCCAGGTCCCTCTTCATCTGGCTGCTCAGTTCTGTCCTTTGTAATAGGCTGTGGTGGCAAGTACAGTGTTCTTGTGATTTCCTTGAGCCCTTCTAGAGCAGTGGTTCTCAACCCTCCTAATGCCACGACCTTTTAATATAGCTCCTCAGGTTGTCTGTGGACGCATCTGCATGTGGGCAGACCCGCCAGGGGACGGATACAGGAGCGGTGTCTTGGTTCCTAAGGCCATCGAAAATATGTGTTTTCCGATGGTGTTAGGCGACCCCTGTGAAAGGGTCATGACCCACAGGTTGAGAACTGCTGTTCTAGAGAATCACTGAACCTGGTGGGGGTGTCTTGGGAACGCCCCAGTTTGCTAACTTCAAGTAGTTGGTGTCCGAACTGAACTGCATTGTTGGACACGTAGTTTGTGTTGTAGAACTGAGAACTGTTTGGTATCTGGAAAGACACTGCACATTTGATGTAAATGCAAACAGCTTAGAGGACCGCCCACTATAGATGTGTCAAAGATGTTCTATATGAGTGGACAGAAAGAAATGATGTTTCAAAGGATGCTTTCAATTTTAAGATCCTAAAGAACAGAAATGCAAACAGAAAATTTATAAATTTTCCAATTGTTCTTTCCTATTCAATGCGTTGTTTTTAATATGTAAACATAAAAAACAAAAACCTGCCCTGGCTGGTGTGGCTCATTCAGTTGGTTGGCCATTGTCCAGTGTACTGAAAGGTTGCCAGTTTGATTCCAGGTCAAAGTACATGCCCAGGTTTCGGGTTCAATCCCTGGTAGGGGGCATGCAGGAGGCAACTGACAGATGTTGTTCTCACATCGATGTTCTCTCTCTCTCTCCCTCTTCCTCTTTCTCTAAAAATCAATTTTAAAAAATCTTTAAAACAACCCAAAAAACAAAAACTAAAACCCCAAATAAGAATTTTGATTAGGAGATATATCTTTCTCATATAAGTTTTTTGTTTTTGTTTTTATCTTCACCCAAGAACATTTTCCCATTTTTTGTTCAGATAGAGTGGGAGGGAGAGAGAGGAAGAGAGAAACATCGACGTGAAAGGGACACATCGAATGGCTGTCACCCACACGACCAACCAGGGCCGGGGACAAACTGCAACCAATGTACGCGCCCTTAGCGGGAACCGAACCTGGGTCTCTCTGGACTGCAGGCTGGTGCTCTAACCACTGAGCAAAACTGTCCAGGGCTTAAGGGATATTATACCTCCATTTATCATTCTACGGAACTGGAAGACATATATTCAAAATTGCCTTGGCTAGGTTTGCTAAGTGGTTAGAGCGTCAGCCCACAGACCAATGAGTCATGGGTTTGATTCTGGTCAAGGGCTCGTACCTTGGTTGTAGTTTGTCCTCAGCCCTGGTTGGGTTATATGGGAGGTAACTAGTTGATGTGTCTCTTGTTCCCTCTCTCTTTCTCTCTCCCTCCCTCGCTTCCTTCCACTTTGTCTGATGATAAATAGAAAAATATCCTCAGGTGAGAATTTTTAAAAAAAACTTGATCACCTGCTGATGCTTTTCACTTCAGGGGGAAAGTAGCAGTTAGTAGTTAAAAAGCAGAAGAAAAAACAAGGAAAAAAAAAAAAAACAAGAACAAAAAGCAAGAAAATCCAGATACTTTTATAACAATAATTTGCTTAACTTACATGTGCTCACATACAATCTTAGCTGTATCAGAAAAAGAGTTAAATTATGACAATACTAACTTTGCATTAGTTGATGCCTAAACTGACAACTCAATCTTGGACCTTATTGTACTTTATTTATTTTAATCCTCATCCAAGGATATTTTTCCATTGATTTTCAGATAGAGTGGGAGGATGGTAGGGAGGGAGGGAGGGAGAGAGAGAGAGAGAGAAACACTGATGTGAGAGACACACTGATTGGTTGCCTCCTGCAAGACCCCAACCAGGGCAGGGGATCGAACTGCAACTGAGGTTAATGCCCTTGACCAGGATGGAACTTGTGACTCTTTGGTCAACGGGCCATTGCTCTAACCACTAAGCAAAACTGGTGAGGGCAAACCTTATTGTACTTTAATACATATACATGCTATTAACAAAGTATCTAGGTCTGGAGGGGCCAGAGAATTGTATCCAGCAGTTCAAATGTGATATAACCAGCAGGCCAAATGCACTGTTAGCAATGGCTCTGCTTGATTTTGGGGCTAGCTCACCTGAATCACACACAGTGGCAATGTCACCTGTTGTTTCGCTGGCAGAGACGGCTGTGACAGGGCTTTTGTGTCCTGCCAGAGTTTGTACGTAGCACAACCTGAAAGACCAAAAACATGAATTTGCATATGATCACTAAATATAATCATATTCTCTTTAAAAAATATTTTTTTCTTCATTGATTTTTAGAGAGGAAGGGAGAGGGAGAAAGAGACAGAAACATCAATGAGAGAGAACATCGAATGTCTGCCTCCTGCATGCCCCCCACTGGGATTGGGCCCACAACCTGGGCATGTGCCCTGACCGGGAATTGAATGGGTGACCCCTTGGTGCATGGGTCGATGCTCAACCCGAGCCACACTGGCCGGGCTAATCATATTCTCTTATTTGTTTCCTCAGTATATGCACCTGTTATTCATAAGGCATTCCTAACTGTATTCTTAACTAATCTTTTGATTTCAATAAGATTATAAAGTTTGCATTTTATGTTGAAATTAGGATGCAGTGTAAAACCATTTGTGCATCTGGTTCCTACAGTGAGCAGTGGCATGTCAGACCCGCTGTGCCGGAGCTGCAGACCCACTGTACCTGTTCAAGTCCCAGATGATGCAGGTCCCGTCTCTGCTCACACTTATCAGGACACTGTATGGTTTGCAGACAAACAAGCTGGTGACCTCTTCTGTGTGCCCATAGAGATGTACCTGAGATTCCATCTCTATCTCTGAAGGCTGAAATTAAAAATTAAGTAAAGCATAAAATAAAAGCAATGACAAAAGGTATCCTAGTATTTATCTCAAAAATAAAAACATCTGAAGTGACTCAAATATTTGCAAACATTTCCTTTTTCTTTTTTTAAAAAAATATTTTTACTGATTTTTAGAGAGAGAGTAAGGCAGAGGGGGAGCGCGCGAGAGAAACATTGATGTGAGAGTAAAACATTGATTGGCTGCCTCCTGCACACCCCTCACTGGGGATGGGGAGGAAGCCTGCAACTGGGGCGTGTGCCCTGACTGAGGATCAAACCAGCAACCTTTTGGTGCACAGTACGAAGCCCAAGCAACTAAGCCACACTGGCCAGGGCAAATATTTCATTTTTCAAACGAATTCAATCAAATTATTTCTAAAGAATAAAAGTAAACAAAAAATTTTTTCATTACTGTAATTTCATCAATATGCTTTTTCTTTTTGTCTATTCTTGTTCAGTCTTTGTCCGAATACATATGTATTTTTATAGTTGTAACATTTGCCATATAAAAAAATTCTCTATCTTATATTTTACACATTCTCCAATAAGCATTTTCTATTTTTGACATTGTCTTCAAAATAATTTTTAAGTGTTATAATATTCTATGCAGTTAGTATACCATAACTTACATGAGCATCCTTTATTGACAGATATTTACAACTGTTTCTAATTTTATTTTTATTTATTTTGTTAAACCTTACCTGAGGATATTTTCCCATTGATTTTTAGATAGAGTGGGAGGGAAGGAGGGAGAGAGATAGAAACATTGATGTGCGACACACTGACTGGTTGCCTTCTGCACAATCCCAACTGGGGCTGGGGATCGAACCCACAACCCAGGTACATGTCCTTGACAGGGAATTGAACCCAAGACCCTTCAGTCTGCAGGCTGATGCTCCAACTGCTGAGCCAAACCAGCCAAGGCTAATTGTTTCTAATTTTAAAAAAATTATAGAAGTTATAATTAAATACTTCATGTATAAAAGTTTTATTTCTCTGTTAAATTATTTCTTCAGAATAAATTTCCAGAGTATTAATTTGATAGTTCTTGAGTGTTGCACCAATTCATGTCACCAATGGTGATGCCACTAATACCACCATTGCTTGTCAATGGTTATGGACTATTTTCTAAATCAAAGGCTGCAACCGATGTTCCAAGATCCATGCTGGCTCACAGACGTGATGTCCGCAACCGATGTTCCAAGATCCATGCTGGCTCACAGACTTGATGTCCGTACTGGCTTTCATAGGCCAGCTGTTTATTGTCATAAAGTAATTCAATGCTTCCACTTCAAAGAATATAGAAAACTAGAAATAAGTGTTATAAAAAGCTACATAATGACCACTCTGCTAACCCAATCCTAACATTTTATATGACTGTTCATTTTTAGATAAAGAAAGACTAGCCGTCACTTAATGCACTGTTCTGCATTCTCTGTCCTCTCCTGTTGGAAGTTACCACCACTCTGAGTTTTTTGTGTATTTGTTTCCCATGCATGTAGAACATGTGTTGTACTGTACGTTGCTATAACCATAACAATACATTGTACTGTCTGTCATGTTGATACTTTGTATGCGTATTATTCTTTAGGTGTCTTCCGCATCTGGCCTTTTTGCTCACCATCGTTTCTGAGCATATCTGTGCTGATGTATCAGTGCAGCTCATCTATTTTAACTGCTACATAGTCCAGTGTGCTAGTCACATAAAAATACATTTTTATACTCAAAGAATCAAATGAGGAGGCAATACCAGCTCACGTTCTTCCTTGGAACAACTGGTTGAGCTGTGTAGCAGTTGCTTCTGCTTATGAGGACAAGTGACCTTTAACTGAACACAGTCATAGTGATCAGATGAGCTTTTAATGGGCAGGAGTCCTGGGCCCCTCTGGCTCTCCTCTGACTGGGACCCTCCCTACAGGGCCAGGGGTCGCAGGGCCATGGGGATGTGCCCAGAACCCTTTTAGATGGAGCTTCAGGGTACCCTGGACCAGGGCATTTCCTGCCCAAAAGGCCCGAGTCCCTTCCTTCTCTGCTTGAGCTCTGAAGCACTGGACTTTGGACTCACCTCTCTCATTGTAAGTCTTAAAAAATTTTCCAAGGTTCAAATGGTAATCAAATTTGCTTTAAATTATATTTTTCGTATTATAACCATTTTTTCTTATCTGTAAATATGTGTGCCTTCTTTTGTGTATTTGCTACTACTTTAAATGATTATTTGTAGGAAGTCCCCTGTCTGTGGAACAGAATGCCACTATCTAGTTTCTGCTGGATGGTCGGGACCACCTTGGTCTGGGCACACCTCACCCAGGGTCCTGTACTGAGGCTCCTGGAATTCCAGGGAATTCCAGCTCAGGCTGAATTCCACGCAAGAGCTGGTCTCAGCGGACTCAGGCTTGTCCTCACTCTCAGGTGCTGTGGCCCTCCAGGGAGCAGCCTTTGGAAAAGGGCCTCCTTGGGGACACAGCAGCTCACTCGGTCCCTGGTGGTGTTTCTGTTCCTCTCACAAGAGGCTGTCAAGGACAGTGTCCTTTTCCAGGACTGACAAGTGCCTTCAAGGTAAAAGCTTCCACCTTCTTATTTACCCCACTAGCTTGAGAGTTCCTTACTGGCCTGTCAGCTATTTAAGACTTAAAACATTTAAAGAATATTTATATTTATTTATATATGTGTACAGATACACACATATGTATATACGTGTGTGTGTGTGTTTTTACTCTCTGACCATGAATATTTATGGGGTAACCACGGCATAGGGCCTCTACAGTGGTTTTTGGTAATTTCATAGATTTTTCACTTTAAAATGATAAGGAGAGTTAGTGTTACTAAACTCCCTGGTGGATCAGAAGATAATTTCTATGGGTAGAATATGAATCTTGCACTGGCTACTTCTTTTTAAAATTGTTCTCGAATGGTGTAACGCTACCTTGTATAAACTGTACATACATTCTTCTCTCACCTCCAGCTTAGACCACAGAAACACAGGTGATCACATACATGAAGATGACGAGGTCACACTATTTAATTAGTAAAAAGATACTCGAGAGCAACTGTTTTAAAATCAGTTGTCACTTTAGAAGACATTCTTCTCTAATATATGAAGGGCTCATAGCTAATGATTCCTGTAATGCGCCAGCTTGCTCATCACCACCTGGAATACGTCTCCAGCCTGCCCTGGGAGAGTCAACGCTCCAGCTGGTGTGCTGCATGAGCTCAGGAGGGTGCTTTGTAAGATCCCCTTGAAAACATCGTTACGTGACACTTACTTGGGTCAAATCCCACATGGCACGTGGGGAGTCTGTCTCTGTCCGTGTTAAAGCCAACATAAAAGGGGACAAAACACTCCGAAGCCCTGGCTTTCAGCAAGTTGGGAGAAAGGAGCAGTGAGCACAAGGGGCCTCCTCCTAACCTCACAGGCATAGGGTCACGACCGCAGCATTAGGGATATCAAGATGTTGAGATGGTCCCTGGGAAAATGCAACAATAACATCTGCGAAAACCCATGTTATGTCCCATGAAGTCCAACAATGACAAAAACCATACAGCTAAGGTGCATTTTTGGACAGGGTTAAATAGTAACTGTCAATCTTATGACTTTATTACTTAATACTATTGATACTCAGGAGAAAAAGAAAACTCTCATAAATAAGCTGAAAACCCCACTTTCAGGCAAATATATTACTGAGGAAAAGTAAGCATGAGACTTCACAAGCCTACAGTAACTTTAAAACTAAAAGAAGTGCCTGTCTTGTTTGTTCAAATTATAACTGGCGCCTTGACCTGCTGCAGCCAAAGCTCTGCTGTGCAGTCACTCTGATACTGACAACTTAGTCTTTTTTTAACTGTACTACACACTGTTTAGTGTACAACTAAAATTTTATATTATAGGAAGAATGGAAGTAGGAAAAACGAAGAACAAGGCTGTGTAAGTGCTGGGAAAAGCAGGCGGAAATTAGAAACAGAGAGGAAGCTAGTTTTAAGTTGGCGTCTGTGGCATGGGCAAGGGGTCCGAGTCCTGAAGCGGACAGCTGCCCTGCAGCTGTGATCAGAGTGCATTAATGAAAACAGGAAAGAAGGTGAGCTCAGAAGGGGAAAGGCGATGGCAGCAGGGAACAGCGGAGATGTTAGAAAATGAACATCTGTTTTAGGCCTTTGGAGTAAAAAGGAATAAAAAGGAGACACCCAACAGTGAAGACACTTCCCTGCCCAGATTCCTCAACATTCTTTTTTTTCACCTTTCTAGCTTTATTGAGATGTAATTTACATATAATGTTGTGTAAGTTTAAGGTATACAATGTGTTTATTTGATATACCTATATATTGCAAAAGGATTCTGACTATAGGGTTAGTTAACACCTTTCTCATGTTACATAATTACCATTTATTTATTTATTTTTATTTAATTAATTTATTTTTGTTACAGATGTTTCTCCTTTTCCCCCCATTGACACCCTCCTCTGGTTCCTGCTTCCCCCCAGCATTGTTGTCTATGTCCATTGGTTATGCTTATGCTAAGCAAAATAAGCCAGTCAGAGAAAGCAAGTATCACATGATCTCACTTATTTGTGGAATATAATGAACAAAACAGACCCAGAGCCACAGAAGTAGGGTTCAGACTGACAGACTTCAGGAGGGGTGGGAGGGAGGGGAGGGAGAAACCACAGGACTTAGGCACATAAGCGTTCTCTTCTTACGGCATAATGACCTGCCTCAGCCCACTCTTCCCGCCCTGCGCTGGCCGCCATCTCAGCATGTTATGTCCAAATGACAGGCAGAAGTCTCCGCCACCCCGACCACATGCCTTTGCGTCCATGTTGCTGGCTGCCTGTGTCTGAACTCCTTCCTCTTTCTCCTCTTAGTGAAATGATCCTTTAAGCTCCAGTTCAAGTGTAACTTTTCAGGCTCTTCCTAAAATGCCAACAGGACCATATCACTCCTGCTTAAAACACTGTAGTGGCTCTGTAGGCTTTGAGACAGAAACAATATTATGGTCTCATTTATACTTCAAGGATCATGGCAAAGAACCTTAACAAGGGTTCAAAAGGGAACAGACTTGTACAGAAAAAAGGAACCTAGTGTTACCTTATGCTAGGAATAAAGGTTTCACCTAGTAAAACATAATAATATAATGGAGAGAGAGCCCTGGCCAGTCTGGGTCAGCGGTTAGCACATCAGCCCGCAGACCAGAGAGTGCCGGGTTCGGTTCCCCCTAAGGGCACATACCTTGGTTGCAGTTTGTCCCCGGCCCCGGTTGGGGTCATGTGGGTGGCAGCCACTCAATGTGTTTCTCTTACATCAATCTTTCTCTCTCTTCCTCCCTCTCTCCCTCCTGCTCTGTCTGAAGATAAATGAAAACAAAACATGTCCTCAGGTGAGGATAAAAAATATATATATATATATATATATAATGGAGAAAATTGTAATGGAAAAAAAGAGCGCAGAGAAGGTTCTAAATCAGAACAGAATCACCGAGCTGCCACCTGAACCTGCCATGTACCCCACAGCGCACAGAGTTGATTCAGGAAAGGAACAGCAGTGAAAGTAGAAGCATCAAATCATGTCTCTTTTTTCTTCACTAGACTGTTTTAGAATTTAACTCTTAAATCCTGGAGATTCAATGAATGGCTAAAAAAATTCCTTCCAGTAAGTGGTAGACACCAAGATGGGTGACATGGGTTTTGCTGCTGTTAATTTACCCAGAGAGTACAGCAGAGTTCACCATGAGGGTCCGAAGCTTCAAATGTCACAGAATCTGGAGGTATACGCCTGAGCATTCAGGTTGACACCGAGAAAATGGCAAGTAAGCATCAGAATGTGGAAAAGCCAAAATTCAAAACAAATCATAACTCAAAATACTGTCTGTGACATCAGAAAATAAGACCTTCATAATTACTTTTAAAATTGTTTGTGATTCTGATAAGCCCAAAACAAAAAGAGTTAGACCTGAGACATTTTACATTTTAAGAGCTTATATGAAGAAAAGATTAAGCTATAAAAGATTAAAGTACAGCCCTGGCTGGTTTGGCTCAGCGATTAGAGTGTCGGCCTGCAGACAAGGGAGTCACAGGTTCGATTCCGGCCCAGGGCATGTACCTCGGTTGCAGTTCTTCCTGGCCCTGGTTGGGGTCATGCGGGTGGCAGCAAGTTGGTATGTCTCTCTCATGTCAATGTTTCTCTCTCTCTCCCTCCCACTCTGTCTCAAGATGAATGTAAAAAAAAAAAAAAAAAAATCCTTGAGTGAGGATTTAAAAAAAATAATAAAATAGGTGACTTTCTTTATTAAAAAAAAAATTAAAGTACAAAATTTTTATGTTGATTTTATATTAAGTGAGTTATGCTTCATAAAGGTTTTCTTCCCCTCACTGACTCAAGAATCCCAAACTCCCCACCAAGCAAGCAGGGACCCACCGTGCTGCCCGTCATCCTGTTTGCATAGGCTGTGATGACTCCACACCGGCTCCCAGTGAACAGCTGGCAGCTGTCGGGCACCCACGCACAACTGGTCACCTTTGGAAAAGGACAAATCACAGAAGATCATGTTTAAAAAGCATCAGAAATGCTTCTACTTTTCTGATGACTATTTAAAAAATGTATATTCATAAAATTTGAGGTAAACATTTTACTTGAAATGATTAGACGGTGCAAAGATCTAAAAAGAGAGTATTCTGTAACTTCAATCAGATGCCTAAAAGCTGTTTCCAAATTAAAATGTCTGTGCATCATTTATGACTTTACATTTTTCTGTATACACACACACATGCACGTGCACACACACATGGTCCTTTTGTTGTAGCTCACTGTCCTTAGAATCCAACTTGTCTTTAAGCTGCCCTAATTAACAACCTCAGAGACAGCAAGATGAACAATGGGGAATGTTATAGAGGGCTTTAGCCCCATAAAAATTAACTAGAGTTTGACCTTCACTGGGAATTTGAAAAGCAACATCCTTCAAGAAAAGGGAGGACAGAAACGGCCCCAAGGCCAGAGTGTCCTGCATACTCTGTAAAGAAACTGATAGGGAGAAACTGAAGCTCCCTTTACCCCATAAAACTGTTACTGTTCAACATGTGTGTATTGCACCTGACTGACCGCTGATATCTGTCTCGAATTTGTTAGTTTTTAAACTTTGGATAATGGAATGAATAGCAGGACAGATGTATGCTGACCCAGTTTACCCAGTTCCCTTTCGCCCCAGCTCCCTCCCCCCTCCGTTCCCTCCTGCTTATCGCTAACTGCCTCCGCTTCTGTACAAGCAGCTTGCTTGCTCTGCTAAACTCTTGAATGACCCCTGCCCTATATAAGCAACCCTCCCCCTGAGCTCGGGGCTGCAGTTCTCCTCTGTGTAGGTTGGCTGCAGTCCCTGCGCAGGTAATAAAACATCCCCAAAAACTGAAAAATGGAGTCTGAGTGTGGTCGATCTCCTGGGTTACAACATTTGGAGGCCCCAGCGAGATCAGCCGCGAGGTCCCCCTTTTCCGTGGGGTCGACCTCCTCAGACTACGCGGAGGGCTGCCTCCTCGCCCTCCGCACCTACATTCGTTCTGGCTTTGATTCGGCTAATTCGGACTAAGACTTCAGCCTCGAGGATCTGGGTAAGGGATTTCCCTTTCAGTAGCTCCGGAGCGTTCTGGGATTGTTGCGGGCGGGACGCCGCTGAACCGCACTTCCCCCTCAGGGTCGGGACGCCGACTCCTGACCTGGGAAACCCGGTGGGTTTCCATCTGTTCTGAAATTGGTACCAATCTGTTTTAATCTGGCACTTTCGGGTGCATCTGGCACTTTCGAGTGCATCTGGCACCTTCGGGTGCATCTGGCACTTTCGGGTGCGTCTGCAGGAGACCCGGTGGGTTTCCATCTGGCACTTTCGAGTGCATCTGGCACTTTCGGGTGCAGGAAACCCGGTGGGTTTCCATCTGGCACTTTCGGGTGCATCTGGCACCTTCGGGTGCATCTGGCACTTTCGGGTGCGTCTGCAGGAGACCCGGTGGGTTTCCATCTGGCACTTTCGAGTGCATCTGGCACCTTCGGGTGCATCTGGCACTTTCGGGTGCATCTGGCACTTTCGAGTGCATCTGGCACTTTCGGGTGCGTCTGCAGGAAACCCGGTGGGTTTCCATCTGGCACTTTCGAGTGCATCTGGCACCTTCGGGTGCATCTGGCACTTTCGAGTGCATCTGGCACCTTCGGGTGCATCTGGCACTTTCGAGTGCATCTGGCACTTTCGGGTGCGTCTGCAGGAAACCCGGTGGGTTTCCATCTGGCACTTTCGAGTGCATCTGGCACCTTCGGGTGCATCTGGCACTTTCGAGTGCATCTGGCACCTTCGGGTGCATCTGGCACTTTCGAGTGCATCTGGCACCTTCGGGTGCATCTGGCACTTTCGAGTGCATCTGGCACTTTCGGGTGCGTCTGCAGGAAACCCGGTGGGTTTCCATCTGGCACTTTCGAGTGCATCTGGCACCTTCGGGTGCGTCTGGCACTTTCGGGTGCGTCTGGCACTTTCGGGTGCATCTGGCACTTTCGGGTGCGTCTGGCACTTTCGGGTGCAGGAGACCCGGTGGGTTTCCATCTGGCACTTTCGGGTGCGTCTGTTCTGAAATTAGTATTTTGTGTTTTGACCGCGGTTGTCTGTCTGTCTGTGTTCCGTGTTCTCTGCTGCTCTAACTGTTTTGCTTTCCGTAGGATGAGACAGGACCGTCAACGCCCCGTACCCCCCTTGAATGCATTCTTGCTAACTTTTCTGACTTTTCCAGGAGATCCCAAGGCTACAGAACACCAGCCGATCCTGGGGTCCTCCAGACCCTCTGTGAGTTGGAGTGGCCAACATTCCGAGTTAATTAGCCATCCGAAGGGTCTTTTGACTTGAATCTTTTGTTTGCTGTGAGGTCCGTTATGTACGAGGTTCCCCACCCTGATCAAAGGTATACATTAATATTTGGATTAGAAATGTCAGTGTCCGGAGGTTCAAATGAAAGGAAAAAAGTTTTGTTAACAATGCCTCCGCCTGTCCTGAAGGACAGTTAACTCCTCCCAGCCCCCCCGAGGAAATTCTATCCCATCCTTCAGGACCCCCTTGAGGTATACTAAAATGTCAATTAAACTGAGTTTGCCTACTTTGGGTTCTTATTACAGAAAAGCTAAAAGATGAATTTAGATCTGTTAATGATCTATTGATTAAAAAAATGTCTATTGAAAATATGAATATATTTGCTAATCAGAGGAATGTTAATTACTTGTACTTGTTAAAAAAAAAAGAAATTATATAATTTTAATAAAGGAAAATATAAGATATAGAAATATATATATATTTAAAATTGTTCTAAAACTGGTTATTTCTGACTAGATAAAAAGGTTTATAAAAGTTAAAAGATTTGTTAAGAGAAATCTTAGAAAGAAATTATAAATAAAATAAATTAATATAGAATTTATTTGGTTCTTTTTCAGCCTGTTAAAAGGGGAAAACATTTTTTTTCCCAATATTTGCCTGGAAAGCAAAAGTTATATATATGTTATTGAAATGGTTTTATGTTATGTTAATCAAGTACTTGATTCCTTAAAGAGCCATTTTTAAATCATAAGAACTGAAGTTTCACTGACCTATGTTTATGTTTAACATTTGTCATTGTCACTTTAAATAAATAATTGAATACTATTTAATTATATATATAATATTATATAATCTTTTGGTCAAATATGTTTGACAACTTTCCAGGATTCGAATTTTAAGAAACTTTTTCTTGACCTGGAATTAGTTTTGAGTCATTCCAATAAGACCTGGAATTCCTCAAAGATTTATGTTCTCTCCTTATAAAAGGAAATCAAATCAGTGCAGATGGCTTAACACAGTCTGTTTCCTCACTGAAATATAAATAAGAGGACAACACATTCCAAATGCAAGAGCATACACACTACTAAGAGTGATTATTTGTTCACTTAGCAGATGCACAGATGCCTCTTATACGGGGGTCTCTACTAATGCTGTGGGTTATGCAAACAGTCCTCACTTTAAAGGGGCTTATAATATATTTTGTAAAGTCATGCTTGAATTATTTAAAGAAAGAGCATAATTGAGCCCCAGAGGCCTAAAGATCAGGCTCTTTTTAGTTTAACTAAAAAAGTTTTTTCTTTCATGGTACGATAATGTACTCACATATAAATAAATAAATAAATCTGAGCTATAGTTACTATAGCATGAATAAAATAATATCTCTAATGTACTTGGGTCTCCACCTGAGAAGGGCTTTATGAAAAGAAAAAATTAATTAATTATAAAAATAATAAAAATTAAAGATTTATGAATGATGAAAAATAAAAATTGACATAAAGGAAAAAAAGATGATGATTCTTTGCCGCTTTCCCCTGCCTTGTCGGCAGGGCAGGCTTCTCTCAGAGCCTCAGTTGCTGTGTCCCCTGTGTATAGGGGGACCCAATGTCTGAATAGATATAGATGTGTTCAGATATACTAGCTTCTTTATGATGAGGTCTGAATGCCTCTCTGCAAGGCTTAATAATATTCTCACGGGCAAACTGTTTAACCATTGAAATGCCAGCCCGGGCTGCTCGTCCACAGCGGGTTTGACGGCAACTAATTTCCAACAGGCTTCTCTGAACTTCAGGGATCCCAGGCATGGATACGAAATTCTCTTCGAGAGTTAAAAAACACTCTGCCCCATGTAAACAATGTTAAGACATTGCTCCCCTTTCCTGTGTCCTTTTGTAAACCTGGGGTCAGAGGAAATGTTCCCATTCCTCTGCCCACGGTAGGACCCAAATACTGTCGGGGGAAGGGCTTCCTTAGAACACTTTTCACCGTGTTCCCCCGTTAGGCCTATTGGCCCAATTGGCTGAATTAACAAAGGTAGTAATAGCAGCCTTAAGAGAAACAGGGCACATAGAATAGGGTCACCCTAGGAAGGGAAATATAAGGAAGGGTGAGGACCACAGGCCTAGGTCCCAATTAGGAATAGAAAAGACAAAGACAAAGTCATGTATAGAAAAACAAAATAAAATGCTGTACTTAATTTAGGAAAATGACAGGGCTAGGGCTCCTTCCAACTGAGCCCTCTGAAACCCAGAATAATACTAAATAATAGGGGATAAACTAGTTAGTTTCCTAATAGACACTGGTGCAGCAGACTCAGTCTTGACCGAGCCAATGGGGCCCTAACCTACCCCTGGACTTCAAAGAGGACTATAGACCTTGGGAAAATACTGTAACTCATTTGTTTCTGTTCCTGCCGGAGTGCCCATACCCCCTACTCGGACGTGATCTCCTCCAGAGATCATTTAATTGCTGGCCACAGCCACTCCAAGCCAGACCCCGCATCAAGTTCCACAAGACGTTGGCCATCAATCCTGCCAGCCTGCCTCCAGATGATGACCCGGAATAACCTCTGCAGGACGGCCTGGAGGCAATTGACACTGCAGACGGCCGCCCAGACCTCAGGGATGACCCACTGCCATCATCAGATGAGGTATTGCTCATAGACGGGAGCAACTATGTCCAGGAAGATATCAGGTATGCCGGGGCAACAGTAGTAACTCTGGACCATGTCATTAAGTAGGGGAACTTCAGCCCGATGGGCTGAACTCAGAGCCCTAATCCAGGCTCTCTGATGAGACAAGGGGAAACCATGCTGCAAATAAGGAAGATCAACATGTGGCCCTAAAACTAGTGGGGACCTCTCCAGATATCAGTTACCACACCAAACCCAAGTTCACCTCTGACTCCTACTTACACTGGGTCAGAAAATGACTTAACTGAGCAGAAACAAGTCATAAAGAAAATCAACAACTAATAGACACTGCCTGCTGGGAGATTGTTGGTCCCAGAGGCTCTAGGTCGAACTTTAGTCAACCAGCTGCACCAGCCTACCCTCTTAGGTTACACCAAGCTTACTGAACTCCTGGGATGCAGATAATGTCCAATAAGGTCACAGGGAAAAGGAAAAGATAGAAGAAAGCAGGAATATATAGGTCTAAATAGGGAGGAAAAGAAAAAGGCTAGGGGATATGCAGACAGCAGATAGATTGAGCAAGCTCTCAGGTTCATGTCAGGGGAGGGACTAGAAAAGTCGCAGAGAGTCTATGTAAGTTGAAGAAGGATTATGCAGAAAAATAAAAAGATAGGAAGAAGAAAGAGAGGGGCATACATATTACAGGAAGACAGGACAATAGAGGATTACTCAGGAAGGGAAGAAGATAAGACACTGAGAGGGGAGAACTTGCCCCTACTAATATTATAATAGTCTAGGATGCAATAAAGGGAGTAACAGGTTTAGGCTACTCCTAACCCTTAGATCAGACAATGACCCCGCCTTGATAGCAAAGATATCACAGGATATCTCTAAGGGATTAAATATAAATTAGAAGCTCCATTGTGCTTACTGCCCACAGAGTTCCAGGCAGGTAAAGCGCATGAACAGGACCTTAAAGGAAACCTTAACCAAATTTACTTTAGAAACCGGTGAAAACTGGACCACTCTGCTCCCCTCGCCCTCTTACAATTCTTACAGGCCCTGCAGTCTGCCCAGAAGGCCATCCATAAACACATCTGCGATGCCCTGCCTGTGCCCACCTCAGACTCTGTGCACCCTTTCCAGCCAGGGACTCGATGCAAATAAAAAATTCACCATCCAAGGACTAACTCTGGCCTGGAAGGGACCACACACTGTCATCCTGCCTTCACCAACGGCTATCAAGGTCAACGGCATCCCGGTCTAGCTGCATCATTCCTGGTTGAAGGCAGAAAAAGCAGAATGAACGGTGCAGACCTCTCCAGATCCCTTAAAATGAGACTCTTACGTTTATCGGGACTCTAATTTTTCTAATTATAACTGTACAGGGGAATCTTTATAGATCTAGACCCCAGTAGAACTGGGTACTTAGAAATAAAACATTTAAAAAAAAAATCTTTAAGAAATGTCAACCAGAAGAGGGTCTATATGCAGCCTTAGGTGAAACCTGCTATTTCTATGCCAACCATTCAGGTATAATCAGACAGAGCATCCAAATTCTAAGACAAAGAAACTAAGAGAAGGAGAACAGGTCTCCCATAATTAATATGAAAACTTATTTAATTAGTCACCATAGCTAACATCCCTGATTTCAGCTATAGCAGGGCCCCTACTGTTATTATTAATCGGAATAACTTGTAAACCCATCCAAATTTAATAGACTCCTAGCCTTCATCAGAGAGAGAGTCTAATCAGTAAAACTTAGGGTCTTAGCACAATCCAACTAGAGATTGTCTCCCCATGACAATTGTGGATCAATGGTTTGATCCACTATCAAGAAAAAGGGGGGAATGTTGTAGCTCACTGTCCTTAGAATCCAACTTGTCTTTAAGCTGCCCTAATTAACAACCTCAGAGACAGCAAGATGAACAATGGGGAATGTTATAGAGGGCTTTAGCCCCATAAAAATTAACTAGAGTTTGACCTTCACTGGGAATTTGAAAAGCAACATCCTTCAAGAAAAGGGAGGACAGAAACGGCCCCAAGGCCAGAGTGTCCTGCATACTCTGTAAAGAAACTGATAGGGAGAAACTGAAGCTCCCTTTACCCCATAAAACTGTTACTGTTCAACATGTGTGTATTGCACCTGACTGACCGCTGATATCTGTCTCGAATTTGTTAGTTTTTAAACTTTGGATAATGGAATGAATAGCAGGACAGATGTATGCTGACCCAGTTTACCCAGTTCCCTTTCGCCCCAGCTCCCTCCCCCCTCCGTTCCCTCCTGCTTATCGCTAACTGCCTCCGCTTCTGTACAAGCAGCTTGCTTGCTCTGCTAAACTCTTGAATGACCCCTGCCCTATATAAGCAACCCTCCCCCTGAGCTCGGGGCTGCAGTTCTCCTCTGTGTAGGTTGGCTGCAGTCCCTGCGCAGGTAATAAAACATCCCCAAAAACTGAAAAATGGAGTCTGAGTGTGGTCGATCTCCTGGGTTACAACACTTTGTTCCTCAGAAATGCAAACAAGATCCCCTATATCCAAATTGTGTGTATGTGCATGTGTGTTGTGTATGTGTGTGTGTTCTACATATTTATTTGATTTTCACTTTTATTTTCTTCTGTTATTGGTGGGGATATGGTACATATTAATGGAGGTATTGCTTCTAACAGTTCTAAAGATAGTTAAACAGGAGAAGGGAAGATAAAGGTGGAGACAGAAGTCTGGGATTATTCCTTTGGGGTTATAATCCCTTCAGTCTTAATCACTGAGGCCCTATTCAAAGTGAGAAGTCTTCCTCTGGTCACTAGATAACTCCAGTGGCAGGTCCCCAGCTGCTCTGCTCCCAGCTGCCCCTCCCTTCTCCCACCGCTGGCAAGACCCTCACACTTCATTGAGAAGACAGAGGTCATCAACCATAGACTGCATCCTCTTCCTGCGTGCCTCACATTTTCCCTGTGTACTCTCCTGATTCAGTGGAGGAAGCCCCCCTGCCCTCAGTGTTCCTCAGAACACTTGCCCTCTCTTAGAATCCCCCCTCCCCTTTATTAATTTGAGAGAGAGAGAGGAAGGGAGAGGGAGAGAGAGACAGAAACATCGATGAAAGAGAACACCGACTGGCTGCCTCCTGCATGCCCCCCACTGGGGGTTGGGCCCACAACCTGGGCATGTGTCCTGACCAAGAATCGAACTGACGACCTCTTAGTACATAGGTCGACGCTCAACCACTGAGCCACACCGGCCAGACTATCACACAGTATTTTACTAAGGGAGTCTGGACCATCCCGTTTTGCTAAAAGGACTAATGAGAATATTCTTTCATCTTTAATAATGTTTGTGTACAAACTTTATATGATAGAAATAATTTTGTAATGCTTAAATTCTTATTACAAATTTGAATAAACTTGTTTTTCACTGATCTATCGGTAAGCGAGATAACAAAAGGCGATGGCATTTTTTTTCAGGTATATTAAGGGCTAAGTAAACAAGTCACTGCTCTCCTTCTTTCACTGTCCCAGACTCTACAAAAGTAGCTCACTCCATTTCAGAGCGCTCAGGGAATGGAGGTAATTGTTAGACACATGAACAGGTAGTGGCTGTTTTGTAGACAATGGTCTGGAAACAATAAAAGAACTTCCCATGGAAAGGGTCAAAGAAAGAAGGTTCAACACACACACACACACACACACACACACACACACACACACTATAGTTCTATAGCTTACAAAGTAACTTTTACAAATGTTGGAAACATTTTTACAAAAGCTTTATGAGACCCAAGGGGGGAATACATCATCCCAGCTTTAAAGAGGAAGAAAGAAATGCAAGTTGGGGCAGATGAAGTTACTTGACAAAGGCAACACAGAACAAGGCCAGGACACTAACTCATATCACAGGGCTTCAGTTAGACCCAATGCTCCTTCTGCCGCATCCTGCTGCCCAAGTACCTGGTCCATTCAGGAAATCCAGGTACCGACAATGACATAGTGGCAGAAGGCCGGTGAACACTGAGAAGAAAGCAATGCTGATTTTGTTCAAACACTGTGCCATTGGCTGACGGCCTAGGTTATTATACTGTCTCAACGAGACATGGGGTTGAGAACTTTGAGGACACAGGCAGAAGAGCGGCTGTCAGGACATCTGTAAGCACTGCAGACAAGGCACATGCCCAGCATCACCAGCTTCTTGATTGGACGATTCACCAGATCTTAAAGATTGGCTGCTATCAGTCTGATTCCTATTTAAAACATTATATTTAATTATTATTACAAAGTAGTGTGTAAAAAAGTTTACCTGATACTGTTGTGAACTTTGTATAAAGTTTATTGGAGGCTCGCTTTGTTTACTCTTCAACCTTAAAATGTTGTCGGCATAGCCCCAGCTCAGGATGGCGGACCACTGGATGTCTGTGCTGTTCATGCTCCTCACGCCTCAGGAGAGGGAAGGGAGAGGGTCAGACTGCCGCCCCCACCCCAGGCAGGGGACGGCTGAGGTGTGCATCACAGAACAGTATTCCAAAGCGAAATCATTTTTATATCCAAAGATGAACCGATTGATGTTAGTTTTATTCCTTTAATATTAATGGGATTTTTTTCATTCATGCTAAAAATTTTTTTATGAGACATTAACAGTCAAGCTCACTCTATTCATGTTCTGCAACAATTTATCTTAGAAAATCCATATGAACCAGATGCTGTTTGGATAACTCCCCAGATAACCCTGTAGAGGCAGCGCTGCCCCGGGAAGGGACGGCAGCCCCGCCAACCACGAGGACCTGCAGTTAGCGAGGCTCTTCTCTCCTTCTTGCCATCTTTCTGCACAACTTAGTTTTGTATCCTTCGAGATAAAGATGTGGACATTTTCATGTACTACTCGTAATCCACGCCGAATGTAGCTACGGCAGCATGAGTGCTACAGCCGACACTGCCCCTGAGGCGGGCAGTGCTTCGGGGTCCTTAGGGGAGAGAACGTGCTTCCTCTACTCCAGTGCCCAGCAAAATGCCCAGCATAGAAAGGAATAAAACACACATTTGTACATGAATCAACAGTACACTGAAAATGTAATTCACAGATTTCTTTTTGCTTTGTTAAGTACAACACCAAATGTTGACATCAGTTCTGTAATAAAGGAAGTGGGAAACATTCATTACATGTAAGCTCCTCTAAGTATAAGCTTCAGGGAAAGGGACCACATCTATGGGTCTCAGGACCTCTTACCTTCTACCAGAATCGAGCATATTTAATACCTGTTCCCAGTTTCTCATTCCAGTAATACAAGATGTACCATCTTTTTCTTTCAAGAAAAATAAACTTCTCCTTTACCTGTTAGAACTGTGGATCGTAAATAGGAGTTTGCTAAAAAACTGCTTTTTCAGCACGCATAGGCTTGGACTCAAGCCCCAGAGATTCTGATGCAGCATGTTTCAAATGGGATCCAAACAAATATATTTTGAAAAAAACACCTCAGGCAATTCTGAGGCATATCATCACATATACAGAGTAAGTCTGAAAGAGCTGTGGCCCAGCTGGTCTAAACATTTCATTTAAGTGATGGATGTCCAGCAGGGGTCCCAGCACCCTCGTGTTGCAGGGCTATCTGCGGTGGAGGCTGTGGGCCCAGACAAGGTGATGCAAACACAACATTAAATGCTGAAGTGGGACTTCAGGCATCCAATCCAGTCCACGCACTGGCGTCCAGGCAAACCTGCATACAGCTGGTCTGAACGGATAAATGCCCTTTGCCATTCATAAGTGCCCAAAGCCCAAGCCTTGTAAGTAGGGTGCGTTCTCTTGCACTTAGTGAAGTGGCTAATTTGGAAGGGCTGAGGAATGACTTGAATGGCTAATGTCCCTAGTTTCCCAGAGTCTAGGTGACACTCAGGAATGTGAAGAGGACCTCCAGGGCACACACTTCCAAGTTGCTTTTAGTGCTGGTGCCTAGACAGTGAGAAAGGGTTGCTTTCCAGGTATATGTGTTTTTAAAACCCATTGTCAAGGCTCTCATGACTTCCTTCCTCTGTTTTGTTTATTTGACGGTGAAGACTGTATCTTCTGAGGACTAAATTTGCTAGTCAAGTGAAGTCTGTCTATTTCAGGGTTCCAGAGCCTCGAAGGGAACGTTTCCACCCAATCATCAGCGGGCAGTGTTCCCACCTTGCAGAACCATGTGTTCCTGTCCCCGTAAACTCCTCCTCTCACTCCCAGTGGCACTGCATTTCACTCCCACTTTTTAAATGTAGTATGTTTTAGTTCCTATTTTGTACTAAATAACCACAGATTTGAGCAGTTTTCACCAAGGACTCAGAAAACTTAAGCAATGAAACAAAGTAGCAGCATGCATGATCTGGGAACACAAATCTCATGAAAGATAGTGGATTGATTTTCATTTATTTTACCTTGTTCTTTGCTGTATGTCATCAGAAGACAGAAATTTTGGGACAAACCACAAATTGCTCTGGTGGGCAGAGCCTGGAGGGAACCCAGCCTTTCTCCGTGGGGCTGGCTGAAGCAGACCACAGGCACCGCAGCACTTGGGGAACCCACGTACTCCCCCCACTTCAAGCCTTTTATCCACGACAAAGGACTCTGAAACCAAAGAAGTAAAAAGTATGTTTTTTAAAAAAGGTGGTAAATATAGAATTACTTCTAATTTAAATTCTAAACAAAGTAAGAGAAAGCAACCTGATTATAAGCCTACTGTGGGTAAGAACTCGTTTATACTTTTTTACTTCCCCCATGATTAGCACACAGAAACGTGTGTTCCTTGTGGCCAGACAGTGATGAAGACCAAGCCCCATCCCTGTGGAGTTGCATTCTAGTGAGACAGGGCCGACATATATGTTGGGTGTTGAAAGTGCTGTGAAGAAAAACAGATGTGACGAGAGCTGAGGATGACGGGGCTGCTACTTCACATGTGGTGGTCAGGGAAGACTCTCTAAGGAGGTGACGTCTGAGCAGAGACCCAAATTAAAGTGAGGGAGCAAACTGAGGCTGTATCTGAGGACAGGTCATTCCCCGTAGAGGGGGCAGTCTGTGTGAAGGTCTTATGGTGGGAGTGAGGCATGTTGGGACCACATTCCCACTGCAAGCAAAAATATTGCTTGGAGCCTTTATATACACCAACTTAAAACAGGTAATCAGCAATATGTATACTAGTCAATTACATGGCATTTCTTTTCAGGGATGTACTAAATGATAGGTTGTAGCTTAAAAGAATAACCTTGGCAATGACAAGGACTAAAATTATTTGTAAGGCTTCAAAATCTTCTGAGTTAAACTGAAAAGTAAACACAAAACATAAACTACAGCTCTCAACTATGAAACACAATATTGGTGTTAGCAAAAGAGCATCATTTGTCCTGATATTTCAAATGTGAATTTTACTGTTGTGTTTGCATTTAACATGCAAATTAGATATATGTGAGCTTTGAGCATAACGAATTTACATTTAGTGCGCTTTTTGTGTTCTATATTTAGTATATATATATATATTTTTTTTATCCTCACCAGAGGACATTTCTGCATTTATCTTCAGATAGAGCGGGAAGGAGAGAGGGAGGAAGAAAGAGAGAAACATCGATGTGAGAGATACACATCAACTGGCTGCCATCCACACAACCCCATGGGGCTGGGGACAAACTGCAACCAAGGTATGTGCCCTTCACAGGAACTGAACCCGGGACTCTCTGGTCCGCTGGCCCATGCTCTAACTGTTGAGCCAAACCGGCTAGAGCTACATTTAGTGTATTTAAATGACATTAAGAAACGATGGTTAAAACAAAGTCTGTGGAAACCGTTTTAAAATAGATCACAGCTGAGATGCACTGCTGTTTTACTCTGAGGTCCTTTTCGACTTCTCTCTTTTCATTTTCTGCGATGCCCTTTGGCAAACCTCTGTGGCACTTTACATCCACGGCCTCCCATCTGATGCTGCTTTTATAATGAAGAATTTAGTGGAGGATTAGAATTTATTTTATTTTTAAGGTTTTCTTGCTTTATTTTTCTATTTCAAATAAAAATGATACCTACTTCCTATTTTAAGAATCAATACTTTTTATCAATACAATCTGGGAAGGCCAAAGAATATGTAAGGTTTCTGTTAACTGGAAACCAGAACCTTCACACAAACTGTCTCTAGTCCTGGACGGTGCCTCTCGTCTCTTTGCAAACTCCTGTCAATGTCACTGCCTTAGGAGGCTTTCCCTGGTGGTCACCCTCGGAGATACCTCTGACATGACCTCCCAGGAGCATTCTCTACACATCACTAACCCAGCATCTGCTGCACACAGAACATCGCCGGCAGCTGCGTGTGTTCACTGGCAGGCACACACCTCAGGCTGGGACCATGCTGTTCACTTGGGGACCCTAGAGCCTGTGTCAGGGCCTGACTTCTCAGGAGGTGAATCGATTTTGCTGAATTCTGTTGCACTCCAAATGACATACCGGATAGGTAATTTCCTTGACCTGCTCTCGGGTTTCTCTGAAAGCGAACTGCACCAACAGCCCCACGGCCGCAGGAAGCTCTCCTTCAAGGCTGAGCTTGGAACCAGGTCTGCTCACGTGGGCTGACTGAAACAGCTGACGAGGGGTCTGGCCGTAGGTTTTGATCATGGTTTCCAGAGCTCGTCTCTGAACTGGATCTTCAACTGCAGAGACATCCATTCCAAAATATGTCTGAAAGGTGAAGGATGAAAGAGAACCAGAGGTTTGTATAAAGTAAGATCAGCAAAAACACCAAAGGGGAAACAACAAATTTACTGTTTCAAATGGAAATGACTCTGAAATCCTTTTGATCAGGTTCATAATCATTAATGGCCTCGCTGAGATTAGAAATCGATGTTTCTCAGACATACAAGTCCAGGAAGCACAGAGAGTCCCAAACAAGAGGAACCCCAAGAGGCCCACTCCAAGACACATCATCATCAAAATGCAAAAGGTTCAAGACAAACAGAGAATCTTAAAAGCAGCAAGAGAAAGGCAGCTAGTTACCTACAAGGGAGTTCCCATAAGGCTGTCAGCTGATTTCTCAAAAGAAACTTTGCAGGCCAGAAGGGAGTGGCAAGAAATATTCAGAGTGATGGAAAGCAAGAACCTACAACCAAGATTACTCTATCCTGCAAAGCTGTCATTTAGAATCGATGGCCATATAAAGACTTTCCCAGACAAGAAAAAGTTAAAGGAGTTCATCACCACTAAACCGTTATTATATGAAATGATGAAGGGTCTTTTTGAAGAAAAAGATAAAATATATGAACAAACAAAATGGCAATGAATACATATCTATCAACAATGGAATCTACAAACAAAATGAACAAGCAGAACAGAAACATTGTCATAGATACAGAGAACATTTTGTTGGTTGCCAGTTGGGAGGGGGGTTGGGGGAATGGGTGAAAAAGGTGAAGGGATTAAGAAGTACAAATTGGTTGCTAAACTGACAAACCTCAAAGGGAAAGGGGCTGGGGGTGGGTGGGAAGAAATAAACCAAAGAACTTATATGCATAACCAGTGGACACAGACAATAGTGTGGGAAAAAGTGGGAGGGAGGCGGGAGTGGGGAGGAGGGAGTCAATGGGGGAAAAAATGTGGAACATCTGTAATACATTCTACATTCAACAATAAAGATTAAAAAAAAAGAAAAGAAATCAATGTTTCTGTTGGGGAGAGATAAACCAAAGAACTAATATGCATATATGCGTAACCAATGGACATATACAATAGTTTTGGGAAAGCAGGAAGAAGATGGAGTCAGAAGGAGGAGGTCAATGGGGGGAAAAAGTATCAATGTTTCTGAAGAGATGAGCGAAAATACTGAATCCTGATTGATGCTGATCAGGTATGTTTATAAACTGATCTTTACTTTAAGACCAGAGAATAGCATACAAGACTTCATGTCTAATACTAAATTATTGAAAAAGTCATTTGTCCTAAGTGATATATAGGGAAACGCAAAAATGAAACTAACAGACATTATTGGTAGGTTCAAGAGAGTGTTATTTAGGTTCTCACGAACATTGTAAGAGAATCTGAAACAGCAAAGTGCAAATTCCAAAGTCTTCAGTGTGGAGGGGTCAGAGCGCTTTCTCCGCAGTGCTGTCAGAAGGCGGCGGGCAGCGACCTCTTAACTTCCAAAGCTGGTGGGCAGCAGCTAGGGACAGGTCTGTCATGTGCTGTGCAAACCCACTTGTCCAACTTATCTTTAGCACTGAGTCAGTCATAGCAAGTTTCACTTACATATTTAGATAAAATGTTTCTATATGTACCGAAATGAAACCTCAAACATGCTTCAGAAATTAAATAAACTCCAGCACCCTTCCCTCCCAGTACTATTCCTAGTCAAATAATTGTTATAAACGCTTATCTGAGCAGGCTCATTCTTCATGGCCGCCTGACATAATACACTAAAAAATTCATATCATGATTGGAATCACCCTCTATACAGAACTCTTCTTTGTTGATCTTAAAACAGTGGTTCTTCATATTCTGTGGCATCAGTTGCTAAGTGCTCCCACAGATTAGTGAAGAATGAACGGATGCATTTCTAGCACACAGACTTACTCGGACTTGCTCCCTCTAAGCTCAGAGGGGAGGCAGCTTGAAAGGCACCAGAGATATACAGAAAGAACTGAGTTTGGCATCAGGAGAGAGCTGGAGAGGCAGCTTTCTCTCAGACAGATGTGATGGTAGAGGTCGTTGTTCCTTTGGTGAGCCCCTCCCCAAGGGGCCAGCAGACAGTGGCCATGGCCAGCCACTGTTATCTGGGACTCTAGCAACCTGGCTCACACTGTTTGCACCACCCTGGTGATTCCCTGAGGCCCCGCCCCACCCAACTTTGGGGCCCACCCAAGCTGTCTCCAAAGGCTTTACCATAGGATTGGCGTGTCTTGGATCCTGCTTCAGAGTTTCCTAAAATCTCTCAAACAAGCAGCATCTGGTCTCAGTGAGCCCCATACCTCTCGTTAAGTAGCCCCAGGCCTGGCACTAGAAGCAGCCAGCCTTGGTGCACAGTTTGGCTTTGCCTGGGCACCTCCAAGCCCAGCACAAGAAGCAGCCATCACTTTGTAGCTCATGCTGGGTGGCCCTGCAGAGAACACAGGCAGTGGCTGACCTTGCCCCAGCGCCAGCACACCCAGTGGACAGCTTCAGACCACATTGAACCACCACTCAACCACTCCCATAAGTGACACACTCAATGAATGGACTCAGTGGGTACCAGAGCCCTGATGAAGTTTTGCTCTGTGTGGTGGGCCCCTGCACAGCTGATCCTCCAAGGCAGTCAAAAGCCAGTGGTCAGTGGGCATAGCCAGACCTTTCAGCTGACCAGTCTGAGTAAATCCCTCCCACTGACATGCCAACAGCACTCAAGACTCAATTACAACAGAAGGGTGTACAGTCCACACAAAGGGTTCACCTCGAAGGCCCAGCTGGGGTGATCAGGGAGGCTGTGCCACTGGATCCTACAGGACACCTACAGCAATAGGCCACCCTACGAAGCCTAGGAGACATAGCAACTCTACCTAATGCATAGAAATAATCACAGGGAAGCCTTGGTCGGTTTGGCTCAGCGGTTAAAGCGTTGGCCTGAGGTCCAGAGAGACCCAGGTTCAGTTCCCACTAAGGGCGTGTACCTGGGTTGCAGTTTGTCCCCGGTCCTGGTTGGTCGTGAGGGTGGAAGCCACTCGATGTGTCTCTTTCACATCGATGTTTCTCTCTTTCTTTCTCTCTCTCTCTCTCTCTCTCTCTCTCTCTCTTCCTCTCTCTCCCTCCCATTCTATCTGAACAACAAATGGAAAAATGTCCTTGGGTGAGGATTAAAATCATCATCATCATCATCATCATCATCATCATCACAGGGAAGTAGCCAAAATGAGGAGACAAAGAAACATATTCCATATGAAAGAAAAGAACAAAACTCCAGGAAAAGAACTAAACAAAATGGAGATAAGCAATCAATCAAATGCAGAGTTCAAAACACTGGTTATAAGGTTGCTCAAGGAACTTAGTGAGAACATCAACAAAAAAATGACCAGTCAGAAATAAAGGATGCACTAACTGAAATAAAGAATAATTTACAGGGAAAGCCAAGAAGCAAACCATTGATTTGGAATATAAGGAAGCAAAAAACATCCATCAGAACAGCAAAAAGAAAAAAAATCCAAAAAAATGGGGTCAGTGTAAGGAGCCTCTGGGACAACTTCAAGCATGCCAACATTCACATCATAGGGGTGCCAGAAGGAGAAGAGAGAGAGCAAGAAATTGAAAACCTATTTGAAAAAATAATGACAGAAGACTTCCATAACTTGGCGAAAGAAACAGACATACAAGTCCAGGAAGCACAGAGAGTCCAAAACAAGATAAACCCCAACAGGTCTACACCAAGACACATCATCATCAAAATGTCAAAGGTTAAAGACGAAGAGAGAATCTTAAAAGCAGCAAGAGAAAAGCAGTTAGTTACCTACAAGGGAACTCCCATAAGACTGTCAGCTGATTTCTCAAAAGCAACTTTACAGGCCAGAAAGGAGTGGCAAGAGATATTCAAGGTGATGAAAAGCAATGACCTACAACCAAGATTACTCTATCATGCAAAGCTGTCATTTAGAATCAATGGACATATGAAGAGTTTCCCAGACAAGAAAAAGCTAAAGGAGTTCGTCACCACCAAATCAGTATTATATGAAATGTTGAAGGGTTTCCTTGAAGGAGAAGAACAAAAATATGAACAATAAAATGGCAGTTAATACATATCTACCAACAACTGAATCTACAAACAAAATGAGCAAGCAGAACAGAAACAGACTCATAGATACAGAGAACTTTCTGTTTGTTGCCAGATGAGTGGGGGCTGGAGGGATGGGTGAAAAAGATGAAGGAATTAAGAAGTACAAATTGGTTGTTAGACTGATGAACCTCAAAGGGAAGAGAGGAGGGAGGGCGGGATGAGGTAAATCAAAGAACTTCTATACATATATACTAGTCAATAGACACTAACAATAGTGTGGGGAAGGCAGGAGGGAGGTGAGATTGGAGAGAAGGTGGTCAATGGGAAAAACAAGGAGGGACATCTGTAATACATTCAACAATAAATATGAATTTTAAAAAAAAGGCATTTCTACCTCCTTTTAAAAGTTCAAATAAACTTGTACTTAATTATATGGCAGACATTATCCTATATGAATTTCCTTCCTTATTTATGAGGTTGGTATTATTGTTCACATTTTACAAATCTGTCCATTTAGGCACAGAGAAGTCGAGCTATTTGCCCAAGGTCACATAGCAAGTATCAGAGTAACAAAGTGAGGGTTTGAAGTCAATTCTGAATTCAGAGACTGTGCACTTAATCACTATACTGTTTTGCCCCATTAATTGAATATAATTCCCAGAACAATGGCATAAATTGTCCTTTTTAAAGTTCTAAAGTCCTAAAAAATTAGTGAAAAAAAACCTTAGGAAGATGAGAATTATGTGGTGTATTTCAGTGTGCAGATACTTTTGCTGTTGCTGTTAATCCTCACCCATTGCTTTTTTAGATAGAGAGGAAGGGAGGGGAGAGAGAGAGAGAAACATTGATGTGAGAGAGAGAGAGACAGGAATTGGTTGCCTCCTGCACAACCCCGACTGGGGTCAGGGATCAAACCTGCAACCCAGGCACATGCCCTTGACTGGAAATTGAACCCAAGACCCTTTGGTTCATGGGCCCATGCTCTAACCGCTGAGCCAAACCAGTCAGGGACCAGCATGCAGATACTCTGAATGTGAAGTTTATACTATAATTGAAAATATGGGACAGGATTATAGGCACAGAGTATACTGAGGTTAATGTCAAAATTCCTAATTGCTTTCAAAATAACATTTTAGATCAAATATGAATGAACTTCAAAAACTGCAATTAAAGCCTTGCCTTTATTTTATACTACTCTTAATTATAAAATTACAGTTCACCTATCAAGCTGTGCTAGTCCCAGACCTTTCAGAACTCACTGTTATAGCGTTTATCTTCTCTTAGGGTCATCAGGAAACCTCTTATTCTACAAGACCTCAGGTCTCTTAGGAATTTCATTTTCTATTACTTTAGAAGTATTTAAAATAAGTACTGAGCCAAATGGACTAAACAGTTTTAAAACCAATTCTGGCTTAGATAAGCCCAGACACAGAGTATGTTACTGAAGGCTCTAGGTGTGCAACTCAGCGGTATTTGTTATAGACACTGATGGATCTACACAGAAAACCACAATTAGAGAGGAAGTGCAAGATGCATCTAATTCCACCAGCTAATTGTAAAGTTAGGAAAACAGAGGCCAAATGGTGGATAAATCTGTGGTACTTGCGTTTGAGTGGCCAGTAGGCAGCGCCAGGAAACAGCTTTCTCCTTGGAGAGGCCTCATCTGGACTCCATTCCCCTCTCCCTGCTGGAGTCTTAGACACCTTTCCATTCCCCGAGTGAGCAAAAGAAATGTTTCCTGAATAGAAAAGCTTTTGGTAGCCTATGTGAAAGTGTAACAATTCTACTTCTAGGAATTTATTTTAAGGAAATAAAGATGTACAGAAAGAACCTCAGGAATATAAGTTTTAATAGCAAACAAATACTAACTGAATATTCAACATAAATTAGCATAGTTCCATACTTGGGAACAGTAAGTAGTATCAATGTAATATCATATCATATCATATGTTTTCAATGTTATATAAATGGAATTATATATAGAAAAAAGCCTAGAGGGTGGTTTTACTATTTATCTCTGTATGATATTAACATGGTTTTAAAATTTCTTCCTTTTGCAGTCTGTATCTTATACATTTTTCTAACAAGGCATAAATACTGTTTTTGTAGTAAGAAAAAATAATGTCATTTAAAACAGAATGTGTACATAGGGCAGTGTGCAGACAGGACTTCACAGGCCTGAGCTGCTCTCCTTGGAGAGGCCTGTTTGCAAAGTTGGCCCTTGACTGGGTCTGGGAACATGGATTTCAAAAAATACCCACCTTTCCCTAAGTGACAAGAGTGGCCCCCCCATGCCAAAACTGCACCCCTTGGGAGGAGAGTCCTGGAAGTCTGCCCCAGGCATCTTTTCTTTTGTCTGATTCTGCTTTGTATTTGTCGCTGTAATAAATCTTAGTTGTTAATCCAACTATTTGTTGAGTCCCTAAATCCTTATCCGACCTGAGGGTGGTCTTGGGAAACACCAACAGCCAGTATCTTATTCTTTTTTAAGGAGGAGAAATATAAAACCTGAAAAACCTTGGCCAACAGTATAGTGTTATTGCCAATTCTCTTTGATAACTTAGGTATTTTAAAGCAACCAGCGAACCTTTAAACATTCAGGTTCTACCTTATTGTATATAAATGCAGATTATCTTAAAAGTCTCTTACAGCAGGATGGAAGACATTGATGGCATGCACGGAAGCCTTCCCTTTTTGCTTGTACCCGAACACCAAGTCAATCCACTGACAGATGTTCTGGGACACGTGGTCAGACTCCAGAGCCTGTCGATGGATGAGGATAAAAAGACGAGGGTCGTTACGTGCCCACGGCGGGAGGTTGACATGATTAACCCGTTCACCGTTCTGACGCACACCAAAATCAAAGCCTAGAAAACAAGACTAGTATTAATGTTTATCCCCCAAAGCATGCTTCATTTGACCCACTGAGCAGGTCTTGAGCGTTCACAGAAGTATCTGTTGAACACTATAACCAGGAAAAGGAGCAGCAAAGAGGACATATGGGTCAGTTCTATTCTACTGACTTGGATCTTTCAACTCCATCTTTCTGTCACTTTATATCACATTGAAGAAAAAGCAGAAAAATCATTGTTCACTGATTCCAATATCCAGCAATCAAATCTCCAAATGCAGTAAGTGCTTAAATACATATTCAACTGTCACCTTGATTAAAACTAAACTAAGGCTTGTATAAGCATTTCTGAATTAGTGGTGCTAACAATATATTTAAGACTCCTTACACGTAGTAAACATTAGCATTGTGTAGTTTAAAAACCCAACTAATGCAAAGCATACACACTTCCAGAATGCACGTCTTAGTCTGCAAACCCTGGGGAAAGTCCACAGGTGTGCTCTGACTTCACTTCTACTAAGTATTCTGTGGACAGATGACAAAATCATCCAACACACCAAATAAGAGACTCTCCTGTGATGTCAAGGAGTGGTTATCTAACGGTCTCTTTACTCTCCTGGTAAAAAGTTTCAGAAGTGATCATTTTAAAAAACTGTCCTAAAAGAAACGCTACCTTTAAGCAGAAATGTTTGTGTGCTACCTTTTATGAATAGAACATCTGAACATCATAACAGAATAAAAATGAAAAAGGACTTCTTAAAAGCAAGTTGCACTCCATATAAAATTAAGTTGCTGTCTGCTTACTTGTTGATCTTGTAAGAGTTAGGAGGACCCTCACTAATTCTGGAAGTATTTTGAAATGCTATGATGTAAAATACAAACCACAGTGTATATAAAAAGGACACCGGTAGGGGTGGGATCGTGCTGCAGACAGTGGCCGCTGAGCACCTAGAACTCTATGTGGTCGCCTCCAGAGATGTAGCAGGATTTATTAGTTTAACCATGAGCATCTAAGGGCTGAGCTGGGAGGGGCTGAGCAGCAGGGCCTCTCTTTTTTTTCTTCAAATAGAGCAGGAGGGAGAGAGGGAGGAAGAGAGAGAAACATCGATGTGAGAGAGACACATGGAGTGGTTGCCACCCACATGACCCCAACTGGGGCCAAGGACAAACTGCAACAGAGGTAAGTGCCCTTAGAGGGAACCGAACCCGGGACTCTCTGGTCCACGGGCTGATGCTCTAACCGCTGAGCCAAACTGGCCAGGGCAGGACCTCTCTTTAAATTCACACCACTCTCAACTTTCAGGTGCTCTGGGGACACAGCACAGAGGTAGATACTCTTCCCCCAGAAATGATTGGAGGCACAATGACAGACCTATAGAAATGCTGTTGGAGTGACATGATATACATTTATAGCAAACTGTATTGTCTAAAAATGGCAATAACATTTGCTGTTTTGCACGCTTTCCAGAATCTTGCTACACTTACACCAAGTGGCAAAGTACACGCTCCTTCCTTTTGAATGTGGGCAGGCATTCTGAGTGCCCTAACACATCCAGTGCAGTGGAAATGATGCTGCGTGACCTCTATGGCTAGACTGGAAAAGGCCGTGTGGATTCTGCTCACCTCTCTCAGAAGCTCCCCTTTGGCACACGACTTGCCAAGTAGGCCATCTGAGGCCGCCATGCTGTGAGGAAGCCTTCACTAGTCCACGTGGAGAGACCACATGGAGAAGCAGTGGCGCTCCATGAGAGAGATGCCCGCTTGCCCCCCGCTGCTCTGCTCCCCTGGCTGTTCGAGCTCTGGTCAATCTGAATGCAACTGCATGAGAAACCCTGAGCCGAACCAGAAAACCACCTGGCTGAGCTGTTCCTGAGTTTCTCACCTGCAAAGACTGTGAGAGATAATAAATGTATTGTTGTTCTGAGCCATTAAGTGTTGGGGTTATTTGTCATGCAGCCATAGAAACTGGAACTTACGCATGAGAAATGATGGAGAGGACAGGCAGTAGGTTTAAGTAGGAGCCCCAGACTGAAAGCTACAGGCAGGACCCAAACTGCTGGTTTCACTGAGGCATTTGTCATGTGGGCAACACCAGGAAACAAGCCCCAGAGAATCAGAGTGTGGATTTATTAATAATTCTCCAAACAACTCCAGACAGGCCGGCAGGTATAGAATGAAATTCTTTAGTAATCTGCCCAACACTAACTTCTCTAAAGATATAATTCTCAATTTCATATATTCCTAAAGGTCACATAAAAATATGAAATTAAGTAATGTAGAAAACAACCCAAAAAACTCAACGGGTTAACTGACCTTCTATTAAAGAATAAGTAGGATTGGCCAAGATTGTTGGTCACTGGCCACACAAAATTTAATTTGATACTCCAGTGTTCCTTTTCATTATCAGATATTTCTGGTTATAGTGTTTTATTGATAACTCTTATCATTCCTCATAAAATTACTGAGATTTTGGTTAGTTTGCATTGTGTTCTCAATAAACTCATGACTCATTTTTTAAAAAATGAGCATACTATAACCTTTGTAATTAGAAAAAAAATAAAGCAATTTCTGGAACAAAACTAAAATGCATGTTTACAAATACTTTTTTTTTTTTTCATTTATCTTCAGATAGAGCGGGAGGAAGAGAGAGAGAGAAACATCGATGTGAGAGAGACACATCGAGTGGCTGCCACCCACACAACCCCAACAGGGGCCGGGGACAAACTGCAACCGAGGTACATGCCCTTAGCAGGAACCAAAGGCATGTGGTTCGTGGGCCGGCGCTCTAACTGCTGAGCCAAACCGGCCAGGGCTACAAATACTTTTAATAGTTTAAGGTTACAGTTTTACAGATATATTTGGTCCTATAAAATACTTAAAATCCTTATGCTCACTTGGAAATAAAATTACTTACTAAAGGTATTTCTCTTATTTATAGACTCAAATTTTAGGATTTAAAAGAGCTATTTTTGCCCTGGCCGGTTTGGCTCAGCGGTTAGAGCATCGGCCTGCGGTCCAGAGAGACCCGGGTTCGGTTCCCGCTAAGGGCACGTACTTCGGTTGCAGTTTGTCCCCGGCCCTGGTTGGTCGTGCGGGTGGCAGCCACTCGATGTGTCCCTTTCACGTCGATGTTTCTCTCTCTCTCTCTCTTCCTCTCTCCCTCCCACTCTATCTGTACAGAAAATGGAAAAATGTCCTCAGATGAGGATAAAAAAATAAATAAAAAAAATAAAAGAGCTACTTTTATTTTTGGGAAATTATAAAATAAGTACACACACTCATAAATATAAACTAGAAATGATTGACTGTTATACCTTCTCGGTTAACTAAAAACTCTGGAAGATAGAAAAACTCTGGGATAAGTTCTTTCACGTCGGTCATGGATTCAAAAGATGAGAGACGCCAGGTTGTGTTCATGGAATGGAAGGTTCTGTCTGGAATGTCAAAACTTTGATCTATAAAGAAATACAAATAATAATTAAGACACAAAGACCTGATTCCATTTGAAGATGTCATAATTTATTTTTGCTACTTCAAAAAGATTAAAATGATGTTCATTTTGTTTATCCATAGTTTAAAAGAGGCTATTTACTTATTATTGAAAATAACTATTTCTATATATAATTTGAGACCATATTATAATATTTAAAATCTGTATTGTTTTCATAATATATAAAACAAGATGAATTTCTAGCATTTGTTTAATTGATGACCGTCTACCCAAGTAGAATAAAATTCCCATAAAAGCAGGGACCTGGGGTATCACCCCACCTAGCACATACTAGGTGAACAGTAACAGTTTATTCATTGAATGAATGAATAATAAGGAAGTAAAATTAAAGTTCAAGTGGATAAAATAGCTTCTTCCCCATCAGGAAGCAAAATTATTCCTTACTTCTAATTGTTAAGACTAATTTTTCTTCTTTTTTGGGGAGAGGGGAACATTGCTTTTTAGATGTTCTAACTCACTCCTTTGCTCATTTTTCTGGTGCAGACTATTAATAATCAGGAACTGAATTTTGACCTGCCTTTCTATTATCAGCTATCAGACTCCCTGGCCGAGGGGCACGTGGAGAATAGGAAGTGCACCCAAGGCAGCCCCTGCAAACAGCAGTGTGGTCGCTTCTTAGGAATCATGTTCCATCTAAAGCTGCTCCAAACCTGCTGAAGTGTGAACACATTTTTCATTTGGAACTGTCAGGGACTAATCTCAGCATCCAGCAAGGCCGATATTAACAAAATGTGCTAATTTCTTCCCCAGGCCTGAGCCACCAGGCCGCTCTGCTGAGCACATTCCTATTTTACTTTCTTATCTAGTCTGTCGAATCAGTCAGCACTGCCTGGCCACTAAATAAAATCTTTGAAGAAATGAGGTTTACAGATATTTCCTTTTTCTTAGAAAGCAGGAGGGTCACTTAAAGAAATATTTACTAACTCAGGAAAAAAAGTTATCAACCTGAATGGATTGCAGAAAACTTAAAGGCAATTCTGCGAGGCTAGGGTGGAGTCCCAGCATTCAGGGTGGGCCTTACAGAACGCAGGGACTAGACACAAGACACTGAGGGTCTGTTCGGCTTTTTTAATTCTCTGTGGTTTCTTGCCTGGGCCAGTTTGGCTCAGCGGTTAGAACGTCGGCCTGCGTAACAAAGGGTCATGGGTTTGGGAGGCAACCAATCCACGCGTCTCTCTCACATCAGTGCTTTTCTCTCTCCCTCCCTCCCACTCTATCTAAAAAAGCAATGGAAAAACATCCTCGGGTGAGGATTAAAAAAAAATTCTCTGTAGTTTCTTGATTTAAAAATGTAAGACCACAAATTCCTATAATCTAGAACATGCATGCACTAAACTAGTGTTTTGTAACCAGTAACACTTTTGCCCCCCAGGGCACATTTGTTGTTTTGGTTCTCATGGTGGGTGGAGGCCAGGGATGCTGCTAAACATCCTACAATGCAGTTCCCACAGCAACAAATGATATAGCTCAAATAACTACAGTGCCAAGGTGAGAAACTGGACTAAACCAGAAGTCTAGAAATAAATTCAAAAGCCAACAAAAATCATTTTAAACCAATCAGCTGAAACAGAATGGGAACTCAGGTAGTCCCTGTGATTTTTTAAAAAACCACTTTTAAATACACAATAAAGAAAATCTAGCATAACAGCAACATGTATAAAAATAAGTAAGACATTTTTATTGCTTGGGAGTTCATATGACATGAAGAGAAATGGAGGGCATAATGGTTCTGTTATATATGGGAGTGGTCTTAACCATATCTGAAAAATTCTTTTCCTTTGACTACCACTTTTTTAAAAATATTTTTTTTTCTTTATTGATTTTAGAGAGGGGAAGGGAGAGGTAGAAACATCGATGAGAGAGAATATCGACTGGCTGCCTCCTGCGTGCGCCCCACCGGGGATCACAACCTGGGCATGTGCCCTGACTGGGAATCGAACCAATGACCTCTTCTTGGTGCATGGGTCGACGCTCAACCACTGAGCCACACCGGCCGGGCTGACTGCCACTTTTTAAAACGGGCATTCACAAATCAAAACATGTTCAGAAAGCTTAGAATAGTGACAGGCTTAGAAAACAGAGCCAAAAAAGATGGCTTGTTTTTAATTATTTTTGTAATTTAAGCACATTTTATTTTATTATATTCAATTTATTGGGATTACATTTAATAAAATTATTCAGGTTTCAAGTGTACAATTCTACAATACATCATCTATGTATTGGACTGTGTGTTCACCACCCCAAGTCAAGTCTCCTTCCATCACCATTTCCCCCTTTTACCTTTGTCTATACCCCCACTCCACTTCCCTCTGGCAATCACCATACTGTTGTCTGTGTCCATGAGTCCTTCTTCTGTTTTCTCTGCTCAGACACATAGATTCAGAGAACTGACTGATGCTGTCAGGGGGTGGGGGTTAGGGCTGGGTGAGAAGGGTGAAGGAATTAAACCTGGTTTTGAAGACTCTTTGCTAAGTACAGAACAGTCCTGTTTATTTGTGTGTCCCTAGCAGTAGCTGGGATAAAACCTTGAATATAGGAGCCTCTTGACTTGATGTCAAATTAACTAAGGATAATTAGTCTGGGAGGAGACAACACTGAGAAGCAGAAAAGGGTCAGGGCAACAATCTTCCAATATCTGAACAGCGGTGATGTGGAACATTTGTGCTGTGTACTTACAGAGGGACAGACATAAGAAAGCCCTTTTATAGACCAAGGAGAGTCATTCCTCCATGAAGGTGCATATGAGTAAAAATATATAAAGACGTAAATGAATGGGTAATGATTCTACAAAGGGCTGTGGGTGCCACAAAGACCAATTACCAACCTAACACCATGGTTCTCATTAGAAACTGACTGGCGAATGTGTCCCAGTTTGCACACAGATCAATTCACCTCTATCTAATCATCTTCAGGCCTGCACGTTGCCACTTAAAACACTGAGGAGAGGGTCACACTAGCTAGAAAGTTACTGTGGTGAAGGTGGCAGTGTGGGTCTCCTGTTATTAACTTAGGAGTTATTTATAATTACAAAAGCATATTCCCCTTTAGGGTTCGAAGATAACTGTGATCTGAAATAATTAAGTTGAACATCTTTAAAAAGTGGATTGCACACATTTTTAAAGGGTAAAGGGGGTCAATTTCATGGTATGTGAATTACATCTTAATTTTTAAAGTGAATTACATTTTATAAACTTAGACGTGTTTAATTTGAAGCTAAAATTTGAGACATTAGCAAGATTATTTGGCTGCTGCAGGTGTTTTGGAGAGAATTTTATGGAAGGAATAAATAGAATTCTTTGCCGTGGTTTGACTGGTCACGAGACAATCTCAGTAAGTCAGCCAAGTTTTGTCTCTGCTGAGCAACCAGCTTTTGAGTCAGTTCTGACACAACCTTACCTTGGTAGGCCAGGAACATCCTGGTGAAGGGTGGCATCCTGACCAGGAAGTGCAGCACCGTGCCGCTGTTGGAGTAGTGGGAGCCGTAGTGGTAGGGCTGCACGGGGGGCAGCGGGTCGTCCTCTCTGACCCCTTTGCGGTACTCTTCCTCCAAGTACTGACGGACACAGGGAACCCAGACAATTCATGGCAACACTAGAAAAGCCTCCCTGCTTGGCTTTACCATTCTTCCCTACCAGCCCTGTGTTGTTCTCCATGGCTGCCTTCCCCTTGTGTTTGGACCTCAGCCACCCTGACTGTATGAGGGTGTCCTCTTGGGTGCCCCTCTGATGCCTGAGCACCTGGAGGCATCTCTCAGTCTGTACCTCCCTCCCAGCTCCAGCCCCAGCTAAGGGCTCCTCCTATCTAAGCTGATCAAGCAGCTTCCACTACCAGGGACATCCGTGTCCTGACAGAAGGGTTCCAGGGGGAAGGTGTTCTTTAGGGCAGTGCTCCTTTAGCAATGGAAATGCAACGGAAATGGAAAAACTGTATCACAATATTGGAATTCTAGCTATAACATCTTATGGCTGTTTTTGCAGGGCAGTTACACAGAGATAAGAAATGTGGTGACTTTTCACAACTCCTATCTTCCCATCACAGAGTAGGAGGCCCAAACACATATTTAATATCTGTCACTATTCTCATCTCCCACAGCGCCTGCCTGGCTCTGATAACAAAGTCAGGTGACAGTGAATTTCTCGAGTCACTTCTTGATCCCCACAGTACCGCCCCATTTTCACTGCAGAGGATCAGCAAGCAGCGCCAGCTATGAGATGCTTGGAGGGAACTTTCTGGAACTGTGACATGATAATGTGGTGAATGTAAGAAAACTGCTTCAGCTGCTCCTATCTCGATGCTATTGTGAAGAATGCAACGTGTGACTAATGAGTTTACTTGAATTTCAAACAGAATTTCGTTAATATTAATTTCACAGAAATAGGTAATTCCTTTCTATTTAAAAATTTTAAAATCTGGTGAATTTCTATTAATAAAGCAATGCATGACTGACTGACAATGAATAACAAGGGATTATGGTGCATCGTAAGTACACTAATATTGTTATAGAAATAACCCTAGGGGATAGCATGATCCTGGAAATCTTTGTGACTTTTATAAGGAATGTAGTTACTTATATACTTCAATATAACAATGGGTTACTCGTTTCCAATTTATGCTCCTGTAAGTGTACTTCTTTTTCTGGGCAAAATGTTTTCAGAGAATCGAGACAGAGTAATATTTAAAATCATGTAATGATTTCTAGTTGCCTGCCAATCAAACTGCAAGGAAGTGAAAATCAGAAAAATCAATACTATAAATTTAAAATTTATAAACACAACTCTATAAAACAAAGCTCCAGTTTTCATTTATCAAAAACGAAAAAACTGACCCTACCTTATATGTGTCCACATACCGATCTTCCTTTTCTTTATACTGCACAGCTATGGGCTTGGAGAGATTTCTACAAAGGAAGAGATGATGGGAAACAGGAAGTATTCCGATGCTGTCAGGATTAAGCTGCCTAGATGTCTACATCTTCCAAGTAAATAAATGACCAACAGAATACTCAGCCCTTAGTTTAGTGCTTACACATGTTGCTTTGCAGCTAATGGTAACCATTCAAAGTTATAATTTCATAATCTGTTCGGGTAGACTTTTTTTTTTTTCCTCACTCGAGAACATTTTTTCATTTTTTGTTCAGATACAGTGCGAGGGAGGGAGAAACATCAAGTGGCGCCACCCACACGACCAACCAGGGCCGGGGACAAACTGCAACTGAGGCATGCTCCCTTAACAGGAACCAAACCCGGGTCTCTCTGGACCGCAGGCCGACGCTCTAACTGCTGAGCCAAACCAGCCAGGGCAGGGTAGACTTTTCTAAACAGACCCATGCAGTGTTAGGAATTCCTGACTTACGAGTACCTACTACAAGAACAGCACTGCCATCCCCCCTTTCCCTGCTTCGTCCTCTTCCTCCAGAACTGTGACGAATGCTGCCCATGGCAGCTGAGTCCTACCAAGCTCCGGGGGCTCCTGTCCCCATGGCCCAGACTCTATGCTCAGTTAGGCAGTGAAGAGTGAAGGATAGGAAACATGATCACAAGGAAATGTTACATAATTATTAGGTTAGTTAGTGAAAACTGAAGAAACTACACATGCTTAAAATGACCACGTTGAGATTTGGAGTGTGAGTACTGAACTAAATGCTCTGCTATCTAATTCACAACCCTGAGGACACCCCTTGTGCACACGAGTGGGCATCTGTGCTGCTGTGCACACTGCGTCAGGGAAGCACAAGCACTCAGGGAAGAGCCTCACTTGTAAGAGAAAGAGCAAGAGAAGTCCCTGAGGAAGGGAAGTTCCCACCCTGAGGAGCGGCTGGTCTGGGAACAGGATGGGGCCACCTGCAGCTTCAGCTTCTGGCACTATAATTACAGCAACATCAGATTTGCCCCAATTTCAGAAAGTCAAGCCAGTTCTGTTTAGCCAGATGTTGATAATCTATTTTTTTTGATAATTATTTCCTAGGGATTTGCAATTAGTTACAGTAAATGCACTAATTCTGTTTTTGAGACTTTTCTAATCCTAAAAACTTAATTAAAAAAGTAAAAAGTTTTATAAAAGAAATACAAATTCACATATCAAAATAGGAGAAATCATGTTCTAAATTGCATAAATAGGTTTCTCTCTTTTTAAAAAAAATCCTCATCTGAGGATATTTTTTCATTGATTTTTTTCTTCTTTTCTTTTCTTTTTAGCTAAAGGGGGAGAGAGGGAGAGAGAGAAAAACATTGATGTGAGAGAGACACACTGATTGGTTGCTTCCTACATGACCCCAACTGGGACTGGGGATTCAACCCTCAACAGAGGTAAGTGCCCTTGACTAGGAATCAAACCCAAGACTCTTTGGTCCACAGGCCAATGCTCTAACCACTGAGCCAAATCAGTCAGGGCATAAATAGATTTTTTTTAACACAACTAATACTTACTGTGCTGAAAATCAGAAATTACTGATCAGCAAATAGAATGAACCAAAAACCAGACACACTGCTATTACCCACAGGTACAACATTTTGGTATACACTCTTCGAGATGTTTTCCTGCTTATCTGTGTGCGTATATTCACTTTTTGAATAAAAAGAACAGCTTCCCCCACCTATAACGTACATTTCTATGATATACTTTTAAATGGCTGCAACACATAACAATTTACTCAAAACTAGAGTTGGGCATTTAGGTTTCAAAATATAGCTATTTTTAAACATGATGTGCCCAAGCATAGCTCAGTTGGTTAGAGCGTTGTCCTAATGCGCCAAGGTTTTGGATTCAATCCCCAGTCACAGCACATACAAGAATTAACCAATGAGTGTATAAATAAGTGACGCAACAAATATCTCTCTCTCCCCCACCTCCTTTTTTCTCTCTCTCTCAAAAATTAAACAATAAGAAAAAAATAAAACTGGCCCTGGCCAGTTTTGCTCAGTGCTTAGAGTATCAGTCTGTGGACCAAAGAGTCATGGGTTTGATTCCGGTCAGGGGCAAATACCGCGGTTGTGGTTTGGTCCCCGACCCTAGTTGGGGTTGTGCAGGGGACAACCAGTCGATGTGTCCCTCTAACATCAACGTTTCTCTCTCTCCCCCACTCCCTCCCACTCTGTCTGAAGATAAGTGGAATAAAACAAAGTAAAACAAGATGTGAGGCCTGTACTGATAGTTCAGTCTTTGGTTGCAGGGCCAGACCCGTGACCTGTGAGCCAGCGGACGGACTCCCTGCCTCACGAGGCTGACTCCCAGTGGCTACCCTTTGGGCAGAGAGCTCATCCTTAACCTTACGTACTTCCTGAGACAAAGTCCTAGAAATTAAATTGCAAAAACAGAGTGTGCACATTTGAAGAGTTCTTTATATTATCAAATTGCTTTCCAGAAAGATTATATCTATTTATATCAGTAGGGTATAATTTAAATGTCTATCAGCAGTATATAAAAATGTTCACAAGATAATGTACCATTTGCTTTTTTTATAACTTGACAAATACATTAAACTGAATCTGATTTCCTTTTTTTTTTTTTTAACCCTCACCCAAGGATATTTTTCCATTTTTGTTCAGATAGAGTGGGAGGGAGAGAGAGAGAGAGAAACATCGATGGGAGAGGGACACACTGAGTGATTGCCTCCTCCACGACCCCAAATAGGGCCAGGGACAAATCCCAACTGAGGTAGGTGCCCTTAACTGGAATTGAACCCGAGACTCATTGGTCCATGGGCTGATGCTCTAACCGCTGAGCCAAACTAGCTAGGGCACTGAATCTGATTTCTTAAAAACTGTCTGAACTACGCCTACTTTTCAACAGTGATAATTAAAATACCCTAATATATCAAGTAAAATATTTGCAGTCCATTTGTCTTCAAACCAAATAAGAGATTTTTAAAAAATTGAGGTAAAATTGATATACAACATTCTATTAGTTTCAGGTGTATAACATAATGATTTGACATTTGTATATATTGCAAAATGATCACCACAATAAGTTAACATCCAGCACCACACATAGTTATAGAATTTTTCTCTTGTGATGAGAACTTTTAAGATGTACTCGTTTAGCAACTTTCAAATATGTAATACCATACTATTAACTGTAGTCACTATGTTGTAAATTATATCCCCAAGACTTATTTTATAATTGTAAGTTTTAACCCTTTGACCCTTTCACCCGCCCCTCATTTCCTGCCTCTAGCAACTACCCATATATTCTATCTATGAGCTTATTTTTTTGTTTGTTTGTTTAGATTTCATATATAAGTGAAATTATATAGCATTTGTCTTTCTTTATCTGACATATTTCACTTAGCATAATGCCCTCTAGGTCCATCAATGTTGTCATAAATGGCAAGATGCCATTCTTTTTTGACTGAATAAGATTCCATTGTTTGGATATACCACATTTTCTTTGTTTTTAAATTCTCACCCAAGAATATTTTTTCCATTGACTCTTACAAAGAGTGGAAAGAAAGGAGGGAATAAGGAAGGGAAGGAGAGAGAGAGAAACGAAACATCAATGTGAGAGAGAGACGCAATGATTGGTTGCCTTCCACACGACCCCAAATGGGTCTGGGTATTGAACCCAAGACCCTTCAGTCCATGGGCCAATGTTAGAATTGCTGAGGCAAATCAGCTAGTGCTATACCACATATTCTTCATCCATCAATGGACACTTAGATTGTTTCCATATCTTGAAAACTGAACTAGGCCTAGATCGCTATTGTAAATAATGCTGCAGCCTGACCAATGTGGTTCAATGGTTGGGTGTCGACCCATGCACCAAGAGATCGCTGGTTTGATTACTGGTCAGGGCACATACCCAGGTTGTGGGCCCAATCCCGAATTGGGGGCATGCTGGAGGCGGCCAATCAATGTTCTCTCTCATGGATGTTTTTATGTCTCTCTCCCTCTCCCTTCCTCTCTCTCTCAAAATAAATTTAAAAAAATTTTTAAAAAATGCTGCAATGAGCCTTGGCCAGTTTGGCTTGGTGGTTAGTGTGGACCAGAGAGTCCTGGGTTCTGTTCCCGCTAAGGGTACGTACCTCGGTTGTAGTTTGTCCCCGCCCCAGATGAGGTTGTGTGGGTGGCAACCAGTCAATGTGTCTTTCTCACATCAATGTTCCTCTCTCTCTTCCCTCCTCTCTCCTTCCCGCTCTATCTGAAGATAAATGCAAAAAAAAAAAAAAAAAGTGCTGCAATGAACACAGGGGTGCATATATCTTTTCTAACTAGAGTTTTCATTTTCTTTTTATTAGTTTGTTTTTGGTACAGATGTTTCTCCTTTTTCCCCCATTGACACCCTCCTCTCCATCCCCCCACCCCATCCCTAGCTTTGTTGTCTACGTCCATTGGTTATGCATACATGCATATAAGTTCTGTGGTATATCTCCCCCCAACCCCATTTTCATGTTCTTTGGATAAATATCCAGAAGTGGAATTGCTGGATCCTACAGTTTTATTTTTAATTTTTTGAGGAATCTCCATATTGCTTTTCATTGTGGTTGCATCAATTTACAGTCCCACCAACAATGCACGAGGGTCCCCTTTTCTCCACATCCTCACAACACTTGTGATTTCTTGAGTCTTTTTGTTAATTACCAGAGAATATTTTTTAAACTAAATAAACAGAATATTCTCTCATCATGTAGGACTATTTGGTTATTTTAAAATGCAACTTGCCCTGGCCAGTTTGGCTCAGCGGTTAGAGCATCAGCCTGCAGACCAATGAGTCACGGGCATGATTCCGGTCAAGGGCACGTACCTCAGTTGTGGGTTGCGGTTTGTCCCCTGCCTGGTCAGGGTCGTGCAGGAAGCAACCAGTCGATGTGTCTTTTTAACATCAATGTTTCTCTCTCTCTCTCCCTTTCTTCTTTCCTCCCTCCCTTCCACTCTATCTGACGGTAAATAGAAAAAATATATATCCTTGGTGATATATATATATATTTTTTTTATCCTCATCCGAGGACATTTTTCCATTTTTTGTACAGACAGAGTGGGAGGAAGAGAGAGGAAGAGAGAGAGAGGGGAACATCGATGTGAAAGGGACACATCGAGTGGCTGCCACCCGCACGACCAACCAGGGCTGGGGACAAACTGCAACCAAGGTACATGCCCTTAGCAGGAACCGAACCCGGGTCTCTCCGGACCGCAGGTGGACACTCTAACCGCTGAGCCAAACCGGCCAGGGCGGTGATATTTTTTTTAAAAAAGCAACTCATTCAAGAAAGGCAGGATAAAAGCTTAATTATTTGCCCCAGCCAGTTTAGCTCAGTGGTTAGAGCATTGGCTTGTGAACCAGAGTCATGAGTTCAACTCTGCTCAAGGGCATGTACCTTGGTTGCAATTTGGTCCCCAGCCCTGACTGGGGTTGTGCAGGAGGCAACCAACCAATGTGTCTCTTTCACATCAGTGTTTTTTTTTTTTCCTCTCTCTGAAGATAAATCCTCAGGTGAGGACAAAAAAAAAAAGCTAATTCTTTTTCTTTAATTGCTAAATTTCAGAAGCAACAAACTAGTGTCCTAGTTATATCCAATAGCAACCAATGAGTTTAGTTTTGCTTTATTTTTTGGGCCTTTAAAAACATATCATGATTAACTTAAGTATTTTTTAAAATTTAAATTGTGTTTCAATCAGTTGTAGTCACTATTCTTTTTTATTTAATCCTCACCTGAGGACATTTTCCCATTTTTTGTTCATATAGAGTGGGAGGAAAAGAGAGGAAGAGAGAGACAAACATCGATGTGAAAGGGACACATTGAGTGGCTGCCTTCTGCACGACACAACCAGGGCTGGGGATAAACTGCAACCAAGGTACGTGCCTTTAGTGGGAACAGAACCTGGGTCTCTCTGGACCGTAGGCCGATGCTCTCTAACTGCTGACCCAAACCGGCCAGGGCATCACTATTCTTTTTGACGCTCAGATTGTCCTATCTCTGGCAGTGAAAGCCACTTCTAGTTGGTTCCTGAGTCCTTTATTTTTTTTTTAATTGCAGTAAAAACACACAACATACAATTTACCATCCTAACCGCCCTCTAGTACACAGTGTAGTAGTGATAACTATGCTCACATTGCTGTTTAGCAGGTCTCTAGAAGTTTTTCATCTTGTGAAACCAAAACTCTATACCCACTAAGCTACAACTCCCCACCCACCCTTACCATCTCTTAGCAACCACTACTCCACTCTCTGTCTCTACGAGTTTGACTACCCTAGACAACTCACGTAAGTGAATCACAGTATTTGACTCTTTGTGGTTGGCTTATTCTGTTTAATACAATGTCCCCAGTACAATCCAAAATTGTAGCATGTGACCAGCCTTCCCTCTGTCTTAGGCCAATTAATATTCCACTGTATGGGTCTACCACATTTTCCCATCCTTCATCCACGGATAATCACCTGGGCTGCCTACACCTCTTGCCTACTATGAACAATATTGTAATGGATGCTGGTGTGCAAATATGGCTTTTTGATAAGACTATATTAGTCACCTTGCTGACACAACAACATATCTCAGGCTCACCCTATATGGTTTCTTCTAATAAATGTGGAAGCAATGAGAGAATAGGAAATCACCATTTTATAACCTATAGGGATATAACTGACTCAAACAATAATTATCTATGAAAGAAACAAGTTCAATCAGAGCCTGAACCTACATGTCAACCTGAGCACCCTTGAACAGGGGGTCCTATGCCTTCCGACCCGAGGCAACATGAAGTCCACATCTCCACCTATCGGAATTCTTGCCAGAAAAAAAAAAGCTGAACCTGAATCTAAGCAAGTCTTTAGAATGAATTTCCAGACTCTAAGAAATACAGAGGCTAGAGGAAAAGCTAAATACTAACATGAAATGAGGGACATCCTACAAGATAAATGTCCTGTTGTTTTCAACATGTCATATTCAGAAGGCTGTTCTAGATGTTTGTCTGTAGAGACATTGCGACCAAAAGTGACAATGGTCACTGATTCAAGTAAATCAACTATAAAAAGACATCTTTGATATCATCAGGGGACATCTAAAAATGAACTGGATATTAGATGATACCATGAAATCACTGTTCATTTTCTTAGATAATGGCACCGAGGTTATGTAAGACAATATTCTATCTTTTTCCTAAGAGATATGTACAGAAGAACATAAGAGTGACATAACAAGATGTTTGTCATTTCTCTTAAATAAAAAGAAAAAAAAAAGATGATGCAAGTTTGGCAAATGTCTTCAAATTGTTGAGTTGGGTGATGGACATATGGTGATTCATTCCATTTTCATTCAATTTTGTGCATGTTTGAAAATTTCCATGATAAAAACTTTAATGAAATAAATACAGCATATTGACAAAGCCGAAAGGTGATGATATTTTGTTACCTGTAGACAGATGGATCACTGAGGTCGAGGGTCTCACTAATGTAGTCAGCCAGTATGAATGGGAACACCGGATACTGCATGAGATCATTGAACGATCGGCCGGCATGTTTGTTTAAGTGCGTCAAATATTCAAAATTAGTAATTTGCCCAGTATACCACAAGTTTGTCAGAGCAGTGATGTTGCCGTACTCCAGAAGGTTAGGAAGGTCACTGGTCAGTATACTGTGGTACACGTCATCACGCACCTACGGGGCAGGAGAAGGAAACAACCAGATTTAACTTTTAAGCTTTTTGACACTTTTCTCCAAAGAATCCATGATATTACAGGCATGTTACTAATCTTGTCCTCCAAGAAAATACTTTCTGTCCAGTAACATGAACTGGTAGAGAACTGAGACGCAAATGCAGGTTTCCCCAAAGCTTGGGCTCTTAACTGCTGTACTGTGCTTCCGGAGAAGCTGTTAATAAGAAACTAAGAAAAAGTCTGTATAGGAAAATCACTATTATATAGATCCTTAGAAAAAAAATGTCAATAAAGGAAAAAGAAGAGCCTTCATCTAAGCAGAAACAATGTGATCCAGTAGCAAGAGCGTGGTTTTCTGAATCAGACAGACCTAGTCTACTTTCCTGCTTAAACCTTCGGTGCCGCAGTCACCACATCTTAGTATTTACTTCATAAGATGAAATAAAATATCCTATGCAAAAGAGAATATTTGATTTTCACTACTGATTGAAAACTAATATATAAACTCTTTCTTTAGAGATTCACAAAAGTACTGTCACAGAAAAATGCTATTCTGATTTTTTTCTAAAGTAATTACATGATGATGATTAATCAATAAAAAATTAATAAATTTTCTAAAAAACAACTTTGAAATACCCATCTTAATGTGTGTGCGCTTCAGGCTTAGGAAGCAGAGACACAGATGTGGACTCAGAGATAGTTCTAAAAGTAAATGAGAAAAATGAGCTAAAGTTGTGGGATATGTTTAAGAGCCTAGCTTGAAGATCTGTTTCACAAAAAAATGTGAATCTAACAATACTAAACTGTATGCTTAAAAATAGCTAGGACTGTAAATTTTATGTTATCTATTTCTTTTTTACCATAATTAAAAAAAAAAAAAAAAAAAAGAATAGGTTCAAGGCAATAAAAAACTAAGCAAACCTGAAAACAAAACCAAGAGCAAAATTTAAACATGTAGTCTAAATCTGAAGGTTGCCCACTGCTGAAGCTAAGGTCGATGGAAGGGAATTTATGACAGTTTGCACACCAAACTTGGCAAGAAAAAGGAAGCATTCACTCATTTGACAAATGTTTACTGAGCACTGTATGCCAACATGTTCAAGGTGCTGAAGCTATAGCACTGAGCCAAACAACGTCCTTACATTCTTTGGGGAGACAATGTTGCACACTATTAAGTCCTACAGAGAAAAAAAGAGCAAAGTAAAGGAGCTAAAGAAGGGTTAGGGGCAGGGGTGAGACAGGGGTTGCTATTTTACTTAGAGTAGTCAGGGAAGGTCTCTCTGAGAAGGAGACATTTGGTCAAGAAACCTGATAAAAATAAGGGAGTAAGCCCTGTGGATTTTTAAGAGGAAATCATTCCAGACAGCATTGTAGGGAGTAGTAAGTGCAAAAGGCCCTGTAGTGTCATCAGTGTGCCTGCTATATTCAAGGAAAAGACAGTTAGCATGGATAAAAAAGAGAGAGTGAGCCCTGGCTGGTTTGGCTCAGCGGTTAGAGCGTCGGCCTGCGGTCCAGAGAAACCTGGGTTCGGTTCCCGCTAAGGGTACGTACGTCAGCTGCAGTTTGTCCCTGGCCCTGGCTGGTCGTGCGGGTGGCAGCCACTCGATGTGTCCCTTTCACATCGATGTTTCTCTCTCTCTCTCTTTCTCTCTGTTCCTCTCTCTCCCTCCCACTCTACCTAAACAAAAAATGAAAAAATATCCTTGGGTAAGGATAAAAAAAAAAAAAAAAAAAGAAAAGAAAAGAGTGAGGGATAGAAGGGCAGAAAGTAAGGTCAGAGAGTTAATGAGGTGCCAGATTACTGAAACCCTTGTTAGTCTATGAAAAAACTTTGGCTTTAACCAAGTGACACAGGGGTGATTAAAGGTCTTGAGCAGAGGAATAGCATGCTCCGACCTACCTTAGGTACGTGCTGAGAATGGGCTTAAAGAAGGGGGAGTATGGAAGCAGGGAGGCCAGTGAGGAGGCCAGTGTGATAGTTTAGGCAAGAGATAATGCGGGCTTGGACCAGGATGGCAGCAGTGGAAGTGGTCGGATTCTGGACGTAATTTGAAAACTGACTGATGGAGTAGATGTGGGGCATGAAGAATAGGAGCACTCTGGGACAGTCCCAAGGTTTTTGGCAATCAGAAAGATTGGAGTTGTCATTTATTGAGATGAGGAAACCTGCAGAGATTTGGGGGGAGATCAGAGGTTCACATTTATACATGTTAAATTTGAGAAGCTAATTAGCCTTCTGAGTGGAGATTCCAAGTATGAAGCTAGATATTTGTGCAGTGTTCAGGGGAGAGGTTTGGATAGAGAGATCAATTGTGAACTGCCTGACTACAGATAATATTCACGACTGTATGAGAAGAGAAGAGGCCTGAAGAACGTGCCCCGAGACACACAGAGGCAGCATCTGTGGGCAAGACTGAGTGGGTATGGCTGGTGAGGTAAAAGGGGAAAGAAGACAGTACTAACCCAGAAGCCCGGTGAAGAAGGTGCTTCTTTTTAAGAAAGAGACTAATCAGCTATGTCAAATATTGGTGATGGGTCCAGTCAACTGAGGGCCATGAACAAGAGAGCAGGGCCAGTAACATGAGGTCTAGGGAGCTGACCAGAGCTCCAGGTGGAGGGTGAGAAGGAAATGTGCCGGGAATACTTCTGCAGAGAACCAGAGGAGGACCTGGAGGTGGCAAGCACACACAGCTTTTTCCACAAGGTTTCTATACAGGAGAGCAGACAAATAGTAGCTGAAGGGATGTGGGGTCAAGAGAGGGTTTGTCAAAAGTGGAATCTACTATCAAGTTTCAGGTTGGTTATGCAGTCATTCATTCATTCACTTTTTACATATACAATCCCTTCGGGAAATCAGAATTTAATATTTTGGAGGACAAAAAATAATCCTAGTATAAGCAAAGGTTTGCTTTAATTGGGACTGAGAAGGCAATTTTTATTTGATTCCAGAAACAGTGGATGAGTTTCAATCCGTTAAAGCTTTGTTTGAGCAGTACAAGTAGTTACACTGGTGCCACGGCTGCGAAAAGCATCTCTGATACTCAAGACAAGCGCACCTTGGTGTTATCCAGTGCTAACAGCAGTGTCCTGCCATTGGTTAAGAAGATTTCCACAGCGTTGTCTCTCAGCTGCCACCAGCGCTTGTGAACTTCTTTGATTTCTTCATATGTCCAGGAAAATGATGCTGGTTCCAATTCTCCCTGAAGGCTCTGGGACAAAGAAAATAGACGAAAGTACTTGCTTTGCATGAAACAGTAATAATCATTTTAATTTTATATTTTTAAAAAGCATCAAAAAGCAACAAAAAAACTTCCTTTTGTGGCAAAATGGCAGATGAGAGTCTCTGAAAATCCTCCACTACTACATACTTCAAAATGCTGAATAAAACTTAGGAGTGTTTTTTAGTTAATAGACTTAATTTTTATTTTTTAATAGACTTTATTTTTCAGAGCAGTTTTAGGTTTAAGACAATTGAGCAGATAGCAAGATTTCCCATGTATCTTCTCTCCCCACTCAGTTTATTATTAACATCTCCTGTCAGTGTGGTGCATTTGTTACAAATGACCAGTCACTATTGATACATTATTCCTGACTAAAGTCCACAGTTTACATTAGGGTTCAGTCTTGGTGACGTACGTCCTATGGGTTTAGACAAATGCATAATGGCATGTGTCCATCATGACAGTACCATGGAGTATTTTCACTGTCCTAAAGATCCTTTGTGCTCCACCTGCTCCTCCCTCCTCCCCCTGAAATCTTGGCAACACTGATCACTTTATTCGCTCCACAGTTTTCCCTTTTCTAGAAGCTCACAGACTTGGAATCATACAAGATGTAGCCTGTTCAGAATGATTTCTTCTGCTAAGAAAATACTCTTTTAAAGAGATATGTGAGCTTGCAAGAAAGTAAGAAAACTGAGATTTCCAGGAGTCAAAAGTGAAGAGAAATTTGAAAAGCAGGAGGAAGTGACCCTTTGGCTGCTCTATGTATGTTTCACTATTGGATTGGGTCCCAACTAATTCTTAAAGTGTTTTAATGAAAATGTAGTATTCTCATACTTAAAACCAAATTCTTCCTGTTTAGCTCCAACATCCGACATACAGATAATTCAACAAGCGTTCACTGTGCATCTTACAGGGAGGTGCTCTACTAAGTGCTCTGCATGAACTAGATCCATGTAGATCAAAGGGCATGGATACTTGGACACACATCTATATGTGAGATACCAAGTGTCACATAAGTAAGAACCAATGTTACAAAAGTACAGAGGAAGGAAGGAGTCTTCAATCTATTAAAAGGAGAGGGTATTTTTAGGAGAGTTTTTTTATTTTTATTTTTATTTTTTATCCTCACCCGAGGACATTTTTCCATTTTTGTTCAGATAGAGTGGGAGGGGGGAGAGAGAGAGAGAGAGAGAGAAACATCGATGTGAAAGGGACACATCGAGTGGTCGCCACCCACACGACCCAATCAGGGCCGGGGACAAACTGCAACCGAGGTACGTGCCCTTAGCGGGAACCGAACCCGGGTCTCTCTAGACCGCAGGCCAACGCTCTAACCGCTGAGCCAAACCGGCCAGGGCTAGGAGAGTTTTAAAGGGGGAAAATGTTGATCCAGAAAAATGTTGGCTATATATCAACTAATAAATTCCTTGGTAGCTAAAAAGACTTCTTGAAAAATAACATAACTATACTTTTACTAACTGGTATAAATGCTGTGGTAATTGCTATTAAATCATGAAAAAATGCCTACTCATTTTGGGGGAGGGCTATATTCAATATTCTTATGAAAACTAATATGCTATTAGTTTTACAACTAAATTTTATATTCTCATTCATTAATTATTTTGAATGAAATGTGTATTCAATGGCCCTGGCCGGGTAGCTCAATTGGTTAGACGGTTGTCCCAATATGCCAAGGTTGCAGGTTCGATCCCCAGTGAGGGCACATATAAGCAGCAACCAATGAATGTATAAATAAGTGGAACAAATCAATGTTTTTCTCTCTCTTGCTCTCTCCGTTTCTCTCTCTCCAAAATCAATCAATAAAAGAATATGAATTCAACATTAAACCACATGTAATCTTATTTAGTATATCCTTAGGAATTTCTGGCTTTAGAACTTTTCAGAAACAAAAAGCCTTATTTATCCTATTACAAGGATTTCAAAACAACATTTTAATGACATACAAGCTAATTCAAATGAATAAAAAGTTTACTATATAAAAATGTGAATTAAGAGTCTTTTTGTTATTTTCTGAATATCAGTATTTCAAGAAGAATGAAAACTATGATTACTAATCCATGTGATTATTGGGATAACTTATTCAATTATGTAATATTTTTCTTTCTTTTTCAAGGCAAATGTACTGGATAGCAAACGGAGTGAATGGCAGGAGTAGTTCTTTATTGCTACTGAGGACAGTGATGAGGTACAATGGACATCACTGGAATGACAGGAGCAACTGGGAACTTGACTTGGAAACTAACTGCTGAGACACAGACCATGAGCCAGCAGAGATGGCATGGCCTTCTTTTTAGAAATGTCTTTTAAAAAATGTTTGAAATTCAGATAATTCTACACATAAAGTCAAAATAAATAAGCTCTAATACTTCTACCTGCTTTTTGGTGATACTGAATTTATACATTTTAGAAATTTGTGTAAATTTAATTAGTGCAAATTTAAGTTTCTACTCACCGAGTTTTCAACTGTATCAGAAGCATTATCTTCCACAAAATACATTCCACATTTACCTGCAGAATAAACTGTACATGAGTTTAACAATGCAGGTGCACTATTACCTTATATAGTTAAAAGTATGACCTTTGGAGTTAGTGGTCTGAATTTGAATGTCATCACCCAGAAACAGTTCCTGACACTCAATACCTAGTTTTGAACAGCATTGTGAGATCTTGGGCAAGTTGCTCAACCCCTTTGTGTCTTGGTTCCCTTATCAAAAGAAGAGGGTAGGAAAAGGACTTTATTTCACAGGGTTCCTGTGGGAATTAGATTATATATAAAATGCTTCTTAATAGTGCCTAGCACTAGTGCTAAAAATGTTGCCTGTTTATTATTGTCAGTACTCTTATATTACCTACATATTATCTTGCTGTATTTTGTCACACATTAACTGAAGTCAAGTTGTAAACCAAACTTTCTATCAAAACAGGAATTCTTAATAGTTAAACACTCAATAATGTAGAACTGCCTGAAAAGGTCCCCCAATTTTTCCTGCTTCATAGGCTGTTGTTAACACATGTCCCTACGTCATGTGACAGGGGTAGGAACTGTCTGGGCTCTGTACCGTGTGCTGGTCACCTCTGAGCACTGGCATGCTGGCTCAGAGAAGGGCGCTGTCTCCATGCTGTGACTGTGGGGCTCAGTCCTCAGCGAGCTCAGAGCTCTACACACTGGGCCCTGGGGGCATGGCTTCAGCTTGTAGCCGTGATGCTCACATTTGAGGACTCTTCGGAATGCAGATGGCTGGGACCCACCCCAGAGTTTCAGATGAGGTGGTCAGGGCTGGGGCCCAAGAAAGTGCATTTCTAAGAAGTCCCATGTGATGATGATGCTCCTGATTTGGGGACCACACTTTGAGGACAACTGGCCTACAGCATACAAGCTGGTTCTTTAAGGGAACAGAGACCAAGTGATGTAACTTAATTCTTTCATATCTTAAGGACAGCATTTCTCACCTAATGTAACTACATAGGTATCCATGCACTGACAATGTTGTCTTTCTCTCAGAAGTACAATAGAGAATACAAATTATAAATCGCAAGGTAGGTATATTTCTTACGCATAGGTATATCTGTTAAAACAGTAGGCATATAATTATACTAATAATTCTTCACTTTAAATTCAAAATTGATATATAATAAAAGAAATGATTAAATATAAAAACGTATACTCATGAAGAAAAGTCAACTTTATAAAAACTAAAATGCTATTCATACACTTTTCAGGGATAAGATAGTCATTTCTTCACATTCATGAGTCCAAACATTATGTTAAGGCAAAATAGCCTATGTGATATTAGAGAAAGTTTAACTCATTTAATGGCAGTGTGTCAAAACAATGCTTCAAATGCTCAATAACGAAACAAGGCAGGGTGAATACGAGTAAAACTTCAAAAAGTGTCTTACCTAATAACAATTCACCAGCTGTCTCTCTAGACGGGGCAACGCTGATGCATCTGCGATTCACTCTGTCAAGATATATTTAAAATTACTATGATTAAATATTTTGACCAATTTTAGAAAGTATAAGCTTTATTTTAGCTAGTAAAATATTTCAGGAAAGCAGGTGAATTTCAAGCACAAGATGTCTTGTCAAAACCCACATAAAAATATTATCTCATTCTATTTTTTTATCCTTACCCGAGGACATTTTTACATTTATCTTAAGATAGAGAGGGAGAGAGGGAGGAAGAGAGAGAGAGAAACATCAACGTGAGAGAGACACATCGATTGGTGCCACCCATATGACCCCAACCAGGGCCAGGGACGAACTTCAACAGAGGTATGTGCCCTTAGCGGGCCATACGCTCTGGTCCACGGGCCAACGCTCTAACTGCTGAGCCAAAAGGGCCAGGGCTCGTTCTTTAACATTCTAGTAGAGGAGAAAAATGACTAAGACTTTTAGAAAAGACTGATAATCCCTATACCCTGCATGCAGAATACAGGATTCAATTATTGAAAAGAGACTTGAATATTTTATATTTTCCAGTAATTAAGCAAACATTAGTTCATGCCTCTGATACTTCAAACACATAAAAGAAGCCTCGTTCCTAGGAAAAACAGAGGATTTAGAATCAGAAAAGTTCCTCTATTCTTTAGTCAAGTCACTTACGTTCTTTGAGTCTCAGTTTTTTATCTATAAAGTGGGCATGATAATAACTAATTACTACTCAGCAATACAAGATACCTTGGGTGTTACCATCTTCCTTGTGTAATAAGAGACAAGGAAACTGACACAGAGAGGTAAGTGGCTTACCCAAAATCAGAAAGCTAGAAAGATCAGGCCTGGAATCTGAATGGTTAATCACCACACTGACTCCCTGTTGATGCCACCAGCAAGCAGCACTGTCTATTCCACAGAGCTGCTGGGACAGTTAACTACAGAAACAAGTGTGCAAACAAGGGCCAGAGCACTGGGCAAAGTCCAAGGACTTCGTCAGGGTGCATGCCTGGGTTGGGGGCCTGATCCCCAGGGAGGGGCGTGCAGGAGGCAGCCAATTGATGTTTCTATCTCTCCCTACCTCTTCCTCCCTTTCTCTCTAAAATCAATAAAGAAAAAAAAGTCTTTTCCTTTTGCATCTGGCCATTCAACCTTGCCCTCTTTAGAGTCATATTTAGGACCTTTCCTAAAACCACAGCATTGTCTAAAATAAGTACTTAAGTACTACAACAGACTATAAAAATCCTTAACTCTTTTAACAAAAGAGAAAACATCTTATGGGTTCAAAGTTACCTTATAGACTCACTTGCAGCTTTGTCTTTTACAGTAGAAGAGAAAGAAGAATGAGTTTTGTCTTCAAAGAGGTAAGAGAGTGGTGGTTTGACCACATCTGTTGAGGAGAAGAGTACACATTATCTTACCTAACATCCACAGTTATCTGCTCTACTTATATGTTGAGTCAAAAAGCCACTATTACCTTCTGATTTCTGTCTATCCCTAAGCAGATACTTGTTTGGAATAGTTAAGTAACATCTCTGTAAACGCCTCCTCTCTCGGTTTGGCCCTTCTGTTGGATCCAACTGCCAGGAAGTTGGATAGTAGATGGGGTCATACCAGACTGCTCTGCAAGTCAAAAGAAAATAATGTCTTAAGTGGAAATCTGAAGTACTTGTAGCTTTTTAAAAAAAATCATTGCACAAATTGAATAAAAAAAAAAACTGATCTAGTCAATTAAAAGCCAAATTATTAAAAACAGAAAAAAAAACCTATTTATATAATTAGACTAGGGAATACAGATACATCGTACAAAAGAATAACATAAAAAAAATAAGTCTCCCAGTCTCCCAGTCTAAATACAAGACCAGTTTCCTGTATCTATTAAAATTTTTTAAATATACGGAAGACTACTATGGATGCTTTAGCAACATGTATGCTTCAGCAATACAGTGGGCTTATTGTGGTTAATTAAAGAAAAAAAATTAAATTTTCAAATTAATTTTTTATATATCCCATTTTGCCTAATATCTAATGTAACAAACAGAATTAGTTCATTTTTATAGTATAAATCACATGTCTTAAAATATTTTAAAAGAAATTAATATTTTAAATGAAAAAAAAGTAGGATACATTTTTAGAAATAAGTAAGAGAAAAAAAAAATCACCCTTAATCTGCTACCCTAAACATAGCAAAATACTGGTAGTGGTTATTTTCTTTCATTTTTAAAAAATAGCAGTTATACTTATTATATATACACATTTCTATATCCTACCTTCTTTTACTAAATACATTATAATCTTAATTATCAGTTTAAATGGCTGACTAATATTGCATTGAGTGGATGTATCATAATGTATTTAACTCTATTACTATTATTATATATTTGTTTCCAATTCATTCATGAGCATAAATAATGCAATAAACAAAAACCTTTATATTTACTTCCTTCCCACATTTTAAATATTTTCCTTAGGATAGAATCCCTTAAACAGGGTAAATGGAGCTAGAAATCAAATGTTTGTAGGGTTCCTAACATATACAAAATATACAAAAATCACCAAACTCTGGTCAAGGATTAAGACATGTTTTGCAGATATTAATACCTAAAAAAATTTTTGTACCATAAAAGGTAAAATATAGTATCTAAAGTTTTTATAAAACCAAATTAGCCTCTAGCAATATTGAATATTTTACCATTTGTTTATTAATTCTGTTTGTCTTATGTGAAGAGTGTATTCATGTCTTTTGCTCCTTCAGACTTTTGGGATCTTAATACTTTATTTTCAAATCTTTATGAATTTTTAAAATTATAAAAATATTACCTAATATTTTTGCTGAAAATAAATTTTCACATTTTGTTGTTCTTGTTATAATTGTCAATTACACTGGAAACAAAGTTCAAATACATTAATTTCTTCTTTGTAGTTTCTTCTGTTGTGTTTGATATTAAAAAGTTATCCCTCCATCAAAGAGTTGATAAATATCCTATTTTCTCCCACCTTATAAATTTTCTTCTACTTTATAAAATTTTCTTTTACTCTAACATTCTTTCATTCACCTGGAATTTGCTTTAGAGTATAATTCTTAGTGTGTTTTAACACCCCAAATACATACTAATCACTTATCTTATGGTCAACAGACACATGAAAAGATGCTTAACATCACTAATCATCAGGGAAATGCAAACCAAAACCACAATGAGATATCTATCACCTCACACCTGTCAGAATGGCTATTAACAGTAAGTCAACAACCACCAAGTATTGGCCCTGAGGATGAGGATAAAGGGAACCTTTGTGCACTGTTGGTGAGATTGTAAATTGGTGCATCCACTATGGAAAATAGTATGGAGGTTCCAAAAAAAATTAAACCAGAACTACCTTATGATCCAGCAATTCCACATCCGAAACACTAATCTGAAAAGATATATGAACCCCTATATTCACTGCAGTTATATATAACAGCCACCTATATGTCCATCGATAGATGAATAAAAAAAGATGTGGTATATATACAATAAAATATTACTCAGCCATTAGAGAAGATGAAACATTGCCATTTGCAACAACAGAGATGGACCTAGAGGGTATTATGCTAAATAAATAAAATAAGTCAGACAGAGAAAGACAAATACTGTATAATTTCACTTATATGTGGAATCTAAGAAACAAAACAGAATCAAACTCATAGATACACGGAACAAACTGATAGCTGCCATTTGAGAAGGGGGTTTGGAGGGATGAGACAAAAGATGAAAGGGACTAAGAAGTACAAAATGGCAGTTATAAAATACTTACAGGGATGAAAAGTACATCACAGGGAATACCGTCAATGATACTGTAATAATGACGTATAGTGCCAGGTGGGTACTAGACTTATGAAGATGATCACTTTGTAAGTTATATAAATGTCTAATCACTAGGTTGTACACTTAAAACCAATATCATATTGTATGTCAACCATAATTTAAAAAAGTAATCTAATCAGTTATCTTATCTAAATTTACAGAATAGTACTTTCATTTCCCTATTCATTATTTGTGAAGCTTCTTTTAAATTTTATTGTTAGTCTTAGCTAGAAAAAGATCTACTTCCCAACTATTCGGTTTCAGTGATTTTTCTATTTTTTTGTGAAGATTATGTTTTATTTTATTTTTATTTTTTATTTATTTATTATTATTATTTTTTTTTATCCTCACCCGAGGATATTTTTCCATTTTTTGTACAGATAGAATGGGAGGGAGAGAGAGGAAGGGAGAGAGAGAGAAACATCGACGTGAAGGGACACATCGAGTGGCTGCCACCCGCACGACCAACCAGGGCCGGGGACAAACTGCAACCGAAGTACGTACCCTTAGAGGGAACCGAACCCGGGTCTCTCCGGACCGCAGGCCGACGCTCTAACCGCTGAGCCAAACTGGCCAGGGCTTATTTTTATTTTTTTAAATCCTCACCTGAGGATATGTTTTTATTGATTTTAGACAGAGAGGAAGGGACAGAGACAGAGAAACATTGATGTGAGAGAGAAACATCAATTGTTTGCCTCCTGTATGTGCCTTGACTGGGAATCGAACCCACAACCGTTTGGTGTACAGGACGATGCTCCAACCAACTCAGCTACCTGGCCGGGGCACAAAGACAATATTTAATTTTTTTTTTTATTGATTTTAGAGAGAGAGGAAGGGGGAGAGAGAGAGACAGAAACATTGATGAGAGAGAACATGGATTGGCCGCCTCCTGCATGCCCCTCACTGGAGATCTGGCCCACAACCTGGGCATGTGCCCTGATTGGAAATTGAACAAGTGACTTCTTGGTTTGTGGGTCGACACTCAACCACTGATCCACATTGTCTGGGCACAAAGATCATATTTTAAAATTAAAGCCAATTATGTATAGATTTTATTGCCTGGAAGAGCTAGTGCCTCTCTCTACTTTTATTCTCCCCAAGAAATTAAAAAACAAAAACAAACTCTCATAGGATTATTCTTCAAGATGAAATAAATCACAAATGATTTAAAAAATGTAAACTAATGAAATAATGTTATAAATCTTTATTGTGGAATGAAATTAGTATTTAACATGGACATATAAAATATTTATGCAAGACGACCTGAACGCCCTCCCACTCTGCTTACCTATCATGGGTCAGCTGTTGACTAAGCTCCTGCCAGTGTCGGCTGGCGCTCAGATCTACTTTGTACATCCCTCTGATATGCTGGATCACCTTTTTTCTCTCAATTCCTTGGGAGAGAGACACTGCCTGGGTGATATCTGCAGCTATTTTAGATATATCCTTTGATTTTGAATCGAGACGCTGAAAAAGACTAAACAGACAAGGTGGTCCATAAGTTAAGCATATGTGGAACATGAAATGTGTATCAAAAGGTGATCCTTTAAAACTAAAAGTATATGTGAGATCTAATGGATTCCTAAAAGACATGATTTTACAACACATACAATCCTACCTTTGTTGATTATTTTTAACTGTTTTCTGCCAGGTAATTTTGTTCACACCTTCTTCAGTTTCATATTTCTTTTGTTCCTAAAAGATTTAAGTAATATTGTACTATATAAAACTTATTATTTATCATTTAACACTGGCACAGAACTCAATAAACTAATTATAAAACCAAGTTGACAAAGGAAAAATACTGTCCCGGGAGACCAGAATATTAAAATACATCAACCACTTTAAAAATGCTGTAATTTCCATTTCCATAGAGTTTGGGTCACAGGAATTAGGGTAGGATAGTTAACCAGAGCTGCCAAACCTGATGGGTTTGCATTGGTGCTTGCTTCCTTAATTTGCTTTTTCATAAAGAACCCATAACTCAAGGTTTGTTCTTCAACTTGTTTGTAACTAAAAATCTTTCCTTCCCTGAAAGCTACTGATAATGAATAACGATGACCACAGAAAAGCAATATACAGAAAAAAAAGTATTTCAAATTAATCATTAACGATACTCTATAATAAAAATCAAGGCTTCAATCTTTCTTTCATTATAGTCAATGGGATCTTCTAAGAAAGTTGTTTCTATGTTTCACTGACTTACCTCTTTGATGATTTGAAGAAGCTCTGGTTTTGTTGCTGCACTGGGAGGGATGCACTTATGGCCACATAACTTTAACGCATTCATAAGCAGTTCTGCTGTGTCTAGTTCTTCCTGAGTCAAGTCATCTTGGTGATTATGTATCAGCTCTGCCAAATACAAAACTAACTTGGCTCCATGCTTTAAAACAAAGTAACAATTTTTTTTTCAGTCATAAAGAATTTTTATTTCTTACCTTTAAATTATTTAACAGTAATTAAATTATATTGCTAGATTTATCTGGTTAGATCTGGTTTGAATCAATGAGCTAAAAAAAAAAAGACATTTTGAGGACAATAGAAAAAATGCAATTCTTTATTGGATATATGATGACATTAGGGAGTATGCTAATTTGTTAGGTATAAGTTATGGTTTTATAAGAAAATGTCTTTTGAAAAATGTCATGATTTCTATGCTTTACTTTAAAATGTTTCAGAAAAAAAAAATGATGCCCATATGATAAACATATTAACAATTGTTAAATCTATGTGATGGTAATATGGTATTCATTATATTATTCTATTTTTCATTGTAAAAGACAGGAAAGAAAGGGAGAGAAGGAGGCAGGGAGAAAAAGAAGGAAAAGCCAGCAAGCAGGCTTTGGGGGAAAGGATTCTGGAGAGGGTTAGCTAAAGAAATATAGGAAATAAGCTTGAGATAAGGGAAAATTATTCTTAGTATTTCTCACGGCAAAATTTAACTGGAAGGGGAACTTTCCTTTAAACCTTGAGATAAGGGAGTTATGCTTATTCTTTCCCCTTTTACTTCTGCTGAGTAGAATAGAAGTTGGTGAAAATTCTAGAACAAAAAGCTACATGGATGAGCTTATAAGCATTCACGACTCTGTAGGGAGAACTCCAAAACCACTGAGACCTCAGCACTTTTGAACTGAATGTCCAGAGAAAGGTTGGTTTAGGCCAGTCTTTTATGAACAGACCCTATAACTAAAATTAGAGTTTTGTAACTTAAGGCAACAACAACATCCTTCATAGCTTTGATGCACGAGTTTTTATGTGGCCCTTCCATCCTCTAGCAGTTACACCCAATTGTTGTGTGTACACTATGTGTCACTTAGACATTAATTCTGCCAACAGGTTAAATATGCATGATTTTACTTTTTAAGAATTTGCATTAATACAAATACCACTATGTTGGATTTATGACATTTTAAATTGTGAATAGTATTAAATGTCAACAAATGTATTTGGAAACTATCACATTTTGGGTGATATTTACATTAACATGCTGAATCACATCATGTTATTTCCTAAAAGCATAAGATGAACATATGCATGATGGAAATAGCAAAGCTCATTTTAATGCAACATTTTAAATGAGTCAGGAGACAGCTGCTACGGGACCAAAAGAGAAAATGAGCAGATGCTCTGTGAGTAAAAGGCCTTCAGGGTTGGCAAATAAAGAGAAATGGTAAATGACTGGAATAGTTTCATGTGTGTCTTAAAGGCAAGGTTCTTAAATATAACTCAAAATATATTTCTGTTTAGCACTGGCTGCTATGCTCAGTGGTTAGAGCATCAGCCTGTGCACTGAAGGGTTGCAGGTTCAATTCCTGGCTCTGGTCGGGGCACATATGACAGGCAACCAATCAATGTGTCTCTCTCATATTGATTTCTCTCTCTCCCCTCCCCCCTTCTGCTCTCTCTAAAACTATCCTCAGGTGAGGATTAACAACAAAAATAAATAAAAACATTTCCATTTAGTATTCAATAACATTCTAAAATCATCTTTAAAAACTATCAGAAATGTTTTTATTCACTCGGAATATCCACATAACAGATGATTTACTTAGATACTGAATTTGTTTCTAATATTTCATTTTAACATCCTCTGATCAATCATTTAATGACTGTAGTTCTGGGACTAGAAAAGACGTGACTGGGGGAGCAATGCAAAAAAAAAGTCTTTTTTTCAGCTCTCAAAAGACTAAGGAACCGAATCTATTAAACACAAATCCTGAGAAAATAATAGAATGCTAAAATGTGTAAAAATACAATTTTCTATTAAAGTTTCTAAGAAGAAAGTTCTGAGCGGACTAGATAAAGGGGGGAAGATTTCAAAGGTGGTACAAAGTGAGCTGGGTAAATGGATGAATGGATGGAAGGGCAGTTAGACAGGAGGAGAGGTGTTTCAGGGCATGGACACGTGACTAAAGCAGCGTGTCAGCAGGAGCACACAGCTGCAAAAAAGGTGTAGCACAGGTAAAATGCTCTTGGAAAGAGGAGGACTGTACACTGGAGTTAACTAGACTCAAGTTGTACCAAAAGACACCTGGGTTTTTTGTTTGTTAATCCTCACCCAAAGATATTTTTCCCATTATTTTTTTTTATTTTTTAGAGAGACAGGAAGGGAGGGAGGGAGTGGGGAGAGAAAGAGAGACATTGATGTGAGAAACACACATTGATTGGCTACCTCCTGAACGTGCCCAACCAAGGCTGGGGATTGAATCTGCAATCCAGGTATGTGTCCTTGACCAGGAATCAAACCTGTGACACTTTGGTCCATAGGCTGATGCTCTAACTACTGAGCAACACTGGCAAAGGTGAAACCTGGGGCTTTAAACGTCAGGCAGATTATAAATGGATTCAGCTTGTAGGCAGCTATAAAAAGGCACGAGCAGATCTCCACAAACTGCTGTGGAAGGAGCTTTAGGATATAGTGTTAGCTGAAGAAAGTAGTTTGGAAGAGTGTGTACAGTTTACTATCTCTTTGTTTTGAAAAGAGGAGGAGACCTGGCCACTTTGGCTCAGCGGTTAGAGCGTCAGTGGACCTGAGGGTCCCAGGTTCGGTTCCCGCTAAGGACATGCAACCTTGGTTGCAGTTTGAGCCTGGCCCTGGTTGGGGTCGTGTGGGTGGCAACCAGTTGATGTGTCTCTCTCACATTGATGTTTCTCTCTCTCTCTTCCTCCCTCTCTCTCTCCCACTCTATCTGAAAATAAATTCCAAAAAGAAAAAAGGAGGAGATAACATATGTGTATGTGTGTCTGTGTGCACACAGATTTGCTTACATGTCCAAAAGAAGTAAAAAACAAATAAAGATGGGTATCTACAGGAAAGGGAAGAAGGAGGGGAGGGTCTAGAGATAAAAGCAAGCAGCTCTCTGAATGTGCTATTTTCACAATTTTGATTTTGAATCCATGTACACATTTTACGTACTTAAAAATAAAAGCCCTGGCCAGTTTGGCTCAGCGGTTAGAGCGTCAGCCTGCGGTCCAGAGAGACCCGGGTTCGGTTCCCGCTAAGGGCACATACCTTGGTTGCAGTTTGTCCCCGGCCCTGGCTGGTCGTGCGGGTGGCAGCCACTCGATGTGTCCATTTCACATCGATGTTTCTCTCTCTCTCTCTCTCTTCCTCTTTCTCCCTCCCACTCTGTCTTAAAAAAAAAGTGGAAAAATGTCCTCGGGTGAGGATAAAAAAAAAAAAAGAAATTAAATAAACAAAATCCAATGAAATTTCTAAAAACAGAAAGCAAATAGGAAAAAAAACCCTTCTAACTAGATAGTTGAAATTGGTGGCATGACCAAGCAGAGAACATTACTTTAAGTGCTTTTACAATAACATAGTATATCCATAATACTATGCTAAGAACAAAATAACCACAAGAAATCTCAAACTGCATTCAGTGGGCCTATCCTTAGTGATAAGGTTGGTCATCTTATTTTGAAAATGTTACATATAGATATAGAAAGATAAAGCAAGTTAGTATTTAATATAATCAGAAATCAAGATTTTCAACCTTAATAAAAAGAAATACAAATATAAAATCCAAGAAAAAGTGAATTATCAGTATTAACTCATGACTTATTTTATCTTCTAAAAAGATTCATATTTCCTAGCTTTTCCCATTAAAAATGCTGAGAAGAAAGGATAACCTAATAGAAATAAATGTACCCAGTACCTGTATTTGTGGTCTCTAAGTACTATTATCTCATTAAAAGAAAATAGGAGCTTTTGGGGGGAAAGTTTGGTTCCAGGTTGGGAAGAAAATATATAGGATGAACCTGGAACATTCTTCTGTTCCAGAAAACAAGGAATTTAATCAAACTAACATGTTAAAAATTAAATGGCTGTGTTAAAAGAACACAAGGTGTTAATTTGAATGTCAAATAGAATAATAACCACAACAGTTTGAAACTAGTTATAAAATTTTTAAAAACTACCTGAGTTCATAATGATACCTCAAAAATAAAAACAAATACAAAAATTAAAGGTTGCTAGGGCACCAATTCCATTCTAAAAATTACTAAATTGGGGAAATAAGCAAGCATTTATCTTGCCTTTTCCACACAGACTATATTTTAATGTAGCCAAATAGTTGATAAGGGAATATTCCTTCCTATAGATGAATCAGAGCTGATAGATGCTGGTGGAACGAGAAACCTAAGAGAAATCACAATTTTGCAACTCCAAATGAAAAAGTGCATCTTGGCAACTATCCTCAATGGCTGCTAAAACTATTAGGTTAAAGACTGAGGGTGAACTTTATAATGGATGGATCAGGCTGATACCATCTTGAAAAGCAGGGAAACCAGATATGGTTGCCTTCTGACAGGATGTAACAGAAAAAAAGCACTCCTAGCAAAGCATTAAAAAAAAAAAGAAATAAATAAAATAAAATAAAACAGAACATATACAAAAATATGAAACCAAGACTGGAATCTAGTCAAGGCTCTAGATGTAGAGCCACAAGGATACAGTCAGTCAAATCCAGAATGTGGGAAACTCTACTGAATAAATGATCCAGTTTCATCAATAATTAAATGACATTAAAAAAAATGGTTGGAGAGAGATTCCCAAATGGTAGCGGAGTGAATGAAAGCTACACAGACCATCTCCCAGGACCAAACTGGAATTACAACTAAAATAAAGACAAATCATCTGGAAAAAAGCAACAAAAATGAGCTGGAGAGGACCCATATAACCAGTGACAGGAAAAAGGACACTGAATCAAGTCTGATAGGAACTGTAAAGGTACAAGAGGGAGGGCTGGGAGCCCACAGTCAGCAGCTATTTTAGCTGTGAGGAGCTCCCTCAGGGTTAAAATCCCAAGCCTGCTCCACAGTGCCGAGGGCCAGGACAGAGCACTAAATTAGCTACAGCCACTCACCTTGGGCTTTGGCAGA